ACAACACCAAACAAAAACATGTACACTAACTACCACAAAGCTGACTGGGCCTCCTTTTCAACTGAAGTAGAATCAGCACTAGAAAACATAGCAGACCCAACTGATATTCATGTTGCAAACAAAACCCTCACAAACATCATAATTCAAGCAGACAAACACAACATTCCCAAAGGCAAAATAAAAACAAATCAACCACCTCTTCCAGACAACATTAGAGCTCTCATAATTCAAAGAAATCAAATCAGAACCGCAAATCACACAGACCCGCAACTACCGCAGTTAAAAACAGAGAAATTGACAGAGCCATACAAGACCATAAGACATATTGACAATTGACATACTTGGAGAGAATACTTGGAGCAACACTGGGACAATAAACACAATAGCCATATACTCTGGAAAACAATACATCAACTATCAAACAAAACCATTCCCATTCAACCAAACAAATCCATTAGTCTCCCAAATAAAATAGCACACACTTCCAAAGACAAAGCAAAATCCTTCAACAACTAATTCATAAACATAACAAAACATCAAACCTGCCCTCATTACAGAAAAATGAAAAACTTACGAAAAGATCAGATGACCATCACAACAGATATGACCATTTCTGCAATTAAAAATAGTAAGACCAACAAATCTACAGGGCCTGATAACATTAACATTCAACACCTTGGACCCAATGCAATATCATAACTTACCAGAAAATACAACATAGCAATAAACAAAAACATCATCCCACACCCATGGAAACTAGCAAAGATCATACCCATACCCAAACCCAACAAAGACACATCCATAGGTTCTTCCTACAGACCAATATAACTTAGTCCAATCTCCAAAACATTAGAAAAAATCATACCCAACATCATTCAGCCTCTCATTGCACAAATAGCTCACCAACACGGTTTCAATGGAAATCACTCCACAGTTACAGCCCTACACTCACTTACCCAACATATTACGTACCTGCGGATTTAATCAGAAACAACCACCTTCATGAACCATTACAATAGCACTAGACATGTCCAAAGCATTCAACACAGTAAACCTACACAAGTTAATAGACAAACTCTCAAAGATTCTAATTCTGCCAACTTTAACAAAAAACATATACAATTTCATATAAGGAAGAAAAGGCTACACACTTTTCAATAACACCACTTCCAAACAGCAGAATTTCATAACAGGCACCCCACAAGGGGGCGTCCTTTCACCCACTCTTTTCAACACATACACCTCAGACCTCCCCACTCTGCCTACAGATGTGCACATGATTACCTATGCAGATGACATCATTTTCTCATCACACTACAGCAATCCCTTGATTAGCACGGTTTTGAATACCACGGTTTTGATTAACGCAGAAAAAAAATTTGCAACCTACCCTTAGGGTGGCCCAGGGTTACAGTTCAGAGTACCAAGATTGGCGCAGAGAGGCGCGGGTTCGATCCCAGCTCTGTGTGCCAGTTTCTGGTCAGAATCGGCGAGGAGGCCGGGCGGTTGAGCACAGCAGAATTGCAGCAGTGAGTTGCGAGTTTGAGACCGCAAAATACTGTGAGTGTTCTGCAATGTTAAGAATCGGCGACAGGCCTACGGCCTAGTAAACGCTGAAACCGCTATTATTATTATATTATTATTATTAATCTATGCGGTGCCAGTTTTGATTAGCACGACTTTTTTTTTCACAATGCATCATTTTCCCGCCTCTAGCCAGAGGTGTTACGTTCGTAACAAAAGTGTTACTTTTTGCTTATTAGATCTTATGTTGTTACTTTTGTTACGATTTTTGGAAAAATTCGCCAAATGTTGTTACTTTATGAATTTCAGCCAATAATTCTTTAAATAAGGTCCCGTTCCGTAGGCACTCGTGCTGACTACAGAGACGGTTTAACCGCGCCTTGTCTCGTTCATAACTCGAATGGTCGAGTTCGGCAACGTTCGCCGGTAAGTGCGCCATGCCGGTGCTCTAGTTACTTGTTAGCCTTCAACTGGTCAAGATCGCTGCCATATCTACTGCTCACTTTTATCAAACTACATAATTTTCCTTGATAAATTACCGTCATAATTATGGACAAAAAGGGAATGCTTAAACGTAAAAATATCACTTTGGAGACTAAGCTTGAAATAATTAAGCGTTTTGATAATGGTGAAACGAAAACGAAGATCGGTGAAGACCTAGGGTTTCCCGAGTCAACAATACACACAATTTTTAAAAAATCGTCTGAGTATCAAGAGAAAGGCAAAATTGCTCCTACGTCGTCAAGCGTGCAATGCACTAGAAATAGGACTCGTATAATGATCGAAATGGAGGATTCATTCGCATATATTTTATTTATTTCCCCTATTATTTAGAAAAAAAATATGATGAATTTTAGTGGAAAAAAAATTATTATGTAACTTTACATAATAATTTTTAATTAATTTAATTTAATTAATAAGTACAGCCACATTTTCCCACCTGACCCTACTGAATACAGGAAACTACTAGACCTTACCATAGACAATACCACAATTCCCACCATCACACACCCAAAATATTAGGAATCACATTTGATCCAAAACTAAACTTCAATACCCACATCCATAATGCACATGACAAAGCAACTAAAACAATAAAAATTCGTAAATCTCTCACATCAACAAACTGGGGAAAACAAAAAGAAGTCCTCACCACCTACAAAACTATAACACAACCTATAATAGAATATGGCAGCACCAGCCTTGCACAAACTCAAACAAACAATCCAAAACACAGCACTCCACATTGCAACAGGTTGTACAGCTGATACTAACCAACACTACCTATACACAGAAACAAAAATGCTGCCCACCCACTTCACTTTCATACTCAACCTTACAACCCACCCAGACTTATGAAACAAACAGTTTTCACAAACAGAAACTACACCACTAACATACTCATAGAACCAGATCAAGCCACAACAGAAACACTAAACAGACGCAAGAAACAAATACACACTACAATTACAACTAACTACATAGACAATCTACCAAACAATGCTGTACTTTTGGCACCAGCACCAGCCATAGACTCTTCAGAAACCCAACTACCCAGACACACACGCCAAGCCCTAGCACAACTCCATACAAACAAGTCCCCCTACTACACCAATACCTACACAAGATAGATCCAGTCACACATCCGTCCCTTCTTTGTCCACTCTGTCACAGACATGAACACAACACCAACCACCTGAACAGCTGCTCAGAGCTGGTCACGCCCTTGTCGCCCCTGGTTTTGTGGAGCTCTCCCATCGAGGCAACAGGGCTGTTGGCGCACTGGGGAGAGAGGTTGGGCTGCCCACGGGAATGTGTTAGGCCCCGTCCCGCATTTGTCGCGGGATGGGGAGGGCAAACAACAACAACAATGGAGAAACCAGGCAAGATTGTACAATTGGATAAAAATTCAACTGTCAAGGCAATAGCAAATCAGAAAAAAATTAGAAAAACCATAGGAAGTTAGGAACTCTTAACTGGAAAATTTGGCCAAAGCCCATGAATTGGACAAAAATGTTCATTAACTTGGCAAATTTTTTATCATTCCTATGGCCTTTTTCAAATTTATTTAGTGTGAAATAAGAAAGTTGTTCTATTTATATCTATCATTATTAAAAATCATCTGTAGAATGATTATATTTAGCTACCTGCAATATTAGGAAACTTTTGCCTAATATTCCAAATGAGATAGAGATTAGTAAAATTGGCTAACCTTACAGGACTATGACTGATCACGGGCCATAGGCAGGAAGATGTGCCTGGTGCACAGGTATTTGTATCTTCAATTTTTCAATCTCTGCAGTGCTCTGTAATACCTATGTCAAGAAATAAAATTTGCCTTACTCCGTTACTAGTTTTGGGTGCGCGGTAACAATGATACCGCCACGCCACGCAGCACAGTGGCAATGTATGTAGACTATTAATAACCGTATATAGTTCAATTCATGCTGCTGCCAGCAGCTACAGCTATGCTGTGACGTAAATTACGTAATATCATCCCACAACTTTGGATAGGTGTTGATGCTTGTACTGTATTAATAACTGTATATATATATAGTTCAATCCCTGCTGCTGCCAAAAGCTGCAGCAATGCTATGATGTATCATCTTATCACTGCGCCAATGGGTGTCAATGCTTGTAGTGGCTGCATGTCTATGTTCATTTCATATGCGTAATAGTGACCATACACATGTTCAATGCCGGGTTATGCTAACAATGGTGGCTGTGCTAGTACTGGATTGTATCCTTGTGACTCACAGCCATGCAGGTATGTGTATTGAAGACCGTTGCTGCATTCAGTGTCGGCTGCCGCCACCCGCTCTGTGCTGCTATCTGCTACTGCCAACTGCGCTGTATTGAGCAATCCTGTGCAGTCCTGCGGGTAATTGAGATATTTCTGCACAAACCCATTTTGTGCGGGAATATTCCCCCAAAACCTACATCTTCCTGAGAGGGGATCAAGGATGGCTTCTGCCCAATTTTCCTGTTTTGGAGACATTAATTGACACCCACCATTGTATAACTTGCCACTTTTCAATAAATATATAATACCTATACTACTGCTGCATCGAATTAAAATTTTTAGAGTTTGATTGCCAAATATTAACTAAGAAGCTTCTTCGATTATGCGAGAATGATTTGGCTTTGTTTTGGTTCATTAAAAAGGATCAACTTAAGTGCTATGGCAAAGTTACTGACTGTGCATATGTTGTGGATCCAATGCCTTATTCAACTCCTGCATGTTTTTCATTGGCATATTGTATTGATGTTGATGTTAAAAGACAAAAGTTATTGAGGGTAGTTTGTATTATTTATTGAATGTGTTCAGCATAGTATAATCTTCTGAATATACTATTTTTTATGTATTATGTTTAATTATTGGAAATTATAAATTAAAATCTTAATTTTAAAATTAAAAAAGTCTATATTAAGTTTCCGCGTTTCTTTCTGTAGAAGATCATTTTTTAGTGTAAATTCTTGAATAAATAATACGGCAAAATCTCGATAGCTTTTGTATTACTATCATTCCCAATATAAAGTTCTTAAGTGATAATTTCTCCATCAGCTTGGGTTTGTCTTCCGATGTCTATGCTAATCATTCATTTTTTTTTGTGCTTAAATTAACCTTTGAGCAGCCACATGCCTGTAACTCACGCAGACCTCGTGCGTCAGCGCGCATTGCTGAAACGCAAGATCACCCTTGCACTCGGTAAGGAGGGTAGCCCAAATGTCTCTTCCGACCCCTTGATACAAACTCTCAATGATTTACTGAGTAAGGTGAGCGCTATCGATGAAACTATTAATGCTGAGCTCCTCGCGGGCACAAGTGATGAAATTTCCGAGCAGCTTGACAGTGAACTCGCGAGCCAGACTAATTATCACCTGGAAATTAAAACTAAAATTGATAATCTTGCTACTAAGCCTAAACCTAAGTTCAATGAGGTCAGCCATGACTTGAAACTTCCTCATCTATCCTGTGATCATTTTTCCGGGGAAGGAACAGATAATTTGGAATACCATAAATTCATTGTTCAATTTAATAATATTATTGGCTTGAGAACCTCTCTATCTAATTCGGTAAAGTTCACTTATCTTAAAGGCTACTTGCGGGGCTATGCGCTGAAATTAATTAACCATTTGCAAATTACTGATGACAACTATACAATTGCACTTGAATTGCTTGAAGCTGAATTTTTGAACAGAGATGCTCTCGTCAGCGAGCTTTACCAGAAACTCCTGGAAAGTAAACCTAAATTTGATACAACTTACATGCAAACAAAATTGTTCATTAACGAAGTGCGATGTTTACTTGCCGATTTGAAAGTTTATAAGAAGGACTTGATGGCAGAACCTGCTAGCAAGCATTTCATTTCGCATATTATCTTCAGCAAGTTGCCTATGCCTGTACGGCAAGAAATGGTTCGTAAAGTTGGAAACAATTACCCTGGCATTGATGATATTTTCAGTAACTACGTTGATGTAATTAAAACTTTAACTTTGCGTGCCCCAGCTAAAGATTTGACCACTTACGATAAATCCGGCACTATTTCGAAGAAACGAAACGACGTAACTGATGCTGAAAGTAAAATTTGTGCGACTAAGCCAGTTATGCTAAATGCGTGTTCAGCGATTCGAGGGACCTGTAAATTTTGTTCGTCCAAGGATCACTCGATGTTTAAATGCCCCAATTACACGTCGAACGCCGCTAGAGTGCGTAGGTGCAAAGAGTTGCGCATGTGTTCTATGTGTTCCAGTTCTAAGCATGACAGTGGAGCGTGCTCGGCTAAACTAGATTATCCCTGTAATATCTGTTCTTCGGATAAACATATTTCTGCTTTGTGTACAAAGTATGTACCCGAGAGAACGTTAGGAAACGTTTGTCTTAATAACGCTAGTGTGTGTGGAGGCTACGTGCTACCCACCCTAACCATCAAAGTATGTCGTGGCAAAGCTGTTTCTCATGTACGATGCTTGATAGACACTGGCAGCCAGAGATCTTACCTTAAAGAAAGCGTCTTGACCAAACTTGGTTATTCCCAAGAAGTTGAAGAGAAACCTTACAACGTTTCCTCCTTCCTCAATTCTGGTGTGCGACAGTTGTCAGAAGCAAATCTATCTGTGAATTTCTGTGACAGTTTGGATAATTTTCAATTGACTTTCTTGATTGATAAAAGATTTTCCCTTGAATTTTCTGTCAATGGACTTAATGATGCCATTAATAATTTGAAGAGTGAATTTTCACTGGCAGATACTGCCTTCTTGACAGGCAGCAGCCAGGAGACCTGCAAGCTGGATGGCATTCTTGGCGTCGATGCTATTCAATTCTTTACAAATTTCTCTCTGATCTCGTGTCGCAAGGGTGCAGCCTTCCAGTATTCTGGAGGAATAATACCTTTTGGTCAGGTAGAGAATTTCTTGGACAAACGTCAAATTAAATCTTTGACAGAGTCTAAAATTAGACAAACTGTACTCGAAGAAAGCCAAGTCAACTTCTTGATTGAGGATAAAACTCAAATTTATCTATCTGACTTAGATAACAATGATGTAGATGCCAAACTTGACAACCTCTTCAAGGTTGAATCCCTAGGTTTGAAAGAAGAGACTTCCGATTACGACACCGAACAAATTGCCAAGTTCAGTGAATCGGTAGAATTGATTGATGGGCATTATAACATTGAAATTCCTTGGGATGTTGATAAACTTTAAACTGTTGATAATGGGTTTAATGTTGCCATGTCTGTGCTCCCAAAGGTTGCTGAGAAGCTAAAGAAAAATGACCTGTTCGATTCTTACGATGCCGTTTTCAGACAGCAGGTTAAAGACGATATCCTGGAAGAAGTAAACTTGCAGGAAATAAACACAGCCGAGCACACATGGATACCTCATCGTCCAGTGGTACGACACGGAGACCAGGTCACCACGAAAGTAAGACCTGTTCTTAATTGCAGTTTCAAATCGAGGGATTCGCGTTCTTTGAATGAGTGTGCATATCCTGGCGTAAATTTGCTACAGACCATCTTTTTCCTTTTGATTAGCTTGAGGTTCAATACCTATTTGATGCTTTCTAACATAAAGCAGGCATTTTTGCAAATCAAACTTAAATCTATCTTTGATCGAAACCGTTTCTCTGTGCTGTGGTATGATGAGTACGGTAAACTTGCTGCTTATCGTTATAAAGCCTTGGTATTTGGATTTGTGTCCTCGCCATTCATTTTGAATTACATTATTAAATTACATGTTGCCAAATATCCGCTTGATCTGTGTTCAAAGTTCTTGGCTAACCATTTTTACGTGGATAACTTGATAATTACTGGTAATGATCCTAATGTGCTGTGCGACCTGTATAGGGAATCTTGCCGGCGTATGAGGGAGGGCGGATTTGAGTTGCGCTCCTGGTCGTCCAATTGTCCTTCAGTTAACGCTTTATTTTCCAGCGACGGTAACGCCGCTGTTCATGGTTCTGATCACGAAAAATTACTGGGTTACCGCTATTATGCGGAAACTGATGAGATGAAACTTGCTGAAATTACTCCACCAGACGGTAAGCCCTGCAAGAGATCTGTCTTGTCATTTCTTGGCAAACTGTTCGACCCATTAGGGTTGTTTTTTCCTGTCATTGCTAGCTGCAAAATTCTTTTAAGAGACCTATGGCTGAGCAAAGTTGGTTGGGATGATGCCTTGAGTACAGAGATGTTAGGGCGGTGGCAGAAGCTTACCGCTAATGTATTGCAGCTAAATTCTTTTTCATTTCTACGTATGGTTGCGAAAGATCAGGATCCAGCTTCATTAGTTATATTTACTGACGCTTCAAAGGTCATGTATGGATTTTGTGCATACTTAAAACCTACTTGTTCTTCAAGTAAACTGAACTTGATTTTTGCTAAAGGCAAAAGTGCTCCTCTGAAGGCCAAAACCATACCTACCTTGGAGTTGTTGGCAGTCTTTTTGGCTCTGAAGTGCATTTTCAATTTGCTGCAATCTCTAGGTCCAGTGAGTTTGCGTGAGCTTCTCATTTGCGTTGATTCTCAGGTTGTCCTCTCTTGGATATTGTCAGGAAAAGTAAAGTCAAAGAACATCTTCGCTCGCAATCGTGTCAGGGACATTAGACAGTTAATTGTGGATGTGGAAGAGAAATTCAACCTCTGCATCAAATTTCGCTACATTTGTTCCTCTGATAATCCAGCTGATATGGTTTCGAGAGGCGTTACTGCTGCTGAGTTTCAGAGAAAGTTAGAGTTTTGGAAGCATGGACCTCAATTTTTGGATGAGAATCCAATAGCTTGGTCAGCCGGTCATACTGGATGTTTCTCTGACCGCACCATCAGTCTCACAACCAACGCTGCTATTACTGAAACAAAGGAATCCTTATTTGAGATAAATAGATTTTCTTCATTAAAAACCTTGATCTCTGTAACTGCATTCATTTACTTGTTCATAGCCAAGATTCGAAAACTATCAACCGATTTCATGGACTGTGTCACTAAAGCTAAATTGTATTGGATTAAAAGAGAGCAGTCTGTACATCTCTCTGGGGTCATTGAATACTTGCATTGTCCCTCTAAGCAGGTCCCTAACCTGGTTCGTAACCTTAATCTTTTTCTTGACCAGGATGGGATTCTGCGTGCCAAGGGCAGATTGGACAAATGCCATAATTTGAATTACGAACAAAGAAACCCTATATTACTTCCTAAGGAAAGCTATTTAACCGAATTGTTTATATGGGATTCACATTATTCCTGTTGTCACTTGGGTGTAAAGTCCACATTGAATCACGTCAGAAGCGGTGGACTCTGGATTCTGCATGGCAGAGCCGCAGTGAAGAAAATCCTGAATAAATGTGTCATCTGCAGGAAAATTAACGCCTTGCCTTTCAAACAGCCCAAGTTGACTGATTTTCATCGTGACAGAGTTAATTTCACTTTGCCTTTCAGGAACACCGGAGTCGATTTCACGGGTGCCTTGAATGTTCGGTATGGAGATAAGGTAGTGAAATTTTACATTCTGATTTTCACGTGTCTTAATATTAGATCTGTTCACTTGGAACTTCTTCCTGATATGTCCACCGACAGTTTCTTGTTGGCCTTTAAGAGGTTCTGTAACGCTCAGATCGTGCCTTCTGTTTTGTACAGTGACAACGCAAGCACCTTTTTGAAGGCCGGAAATATTCTGTCGAAGCTCAACTTAGATTGTTCCCTTTCTAAATTCTTAATTAAACACAATATCAGACACAAAACAATTCCCTTGTATTCTCCATGGGTTGGTTCTTTATGGGAACGAATGATAAGGGTCGTGAAAAATTGCTTGTTTAAGAGCATCGGTAGGAAGAAATTAGAATATTTCCAATTAATTACTTTGTTGTCAGATATTCAAAATGTAGTGAATTCCCGTCCTTTAACTTACCTGGAAGACACCGATGGTCCTAGTTTTAACGTTCTAACGCCTAATTCTTTCTTGAAACCTCCTCAGGGTGTTAGCGCTGTTGTAATGCCGTCATTAGAAGAACCATTTGTAGCAACCCGTGGAGTTGCTATGGAGTCTTGGCAGAATAGAGTTGAAATCTTTAACCAATTCAAAGAAATTTGGTTCGATGATTATCTCCTTTCTCTTAGGGAACTAGGGAGAGACTTGTTTAATTATAAATGGTGCAATAAGATTCATTGCAATGAAATTGTGTTGATAGCTTCACAAACTGAAACCCGGCCATTTTGGCAGCTCGGTCGAGTAGTTGAAGTTATTGTCGGGGCCGATAGCTGCGCTCGATCTGCTAAAGTTTGTCGTCCCGACGGTTCGGAGGGCATTTATTCAATTAATCTGCTGTATCCTCTTGAGCTTTCCATGGCAGAGGCCGAGGGCGATCGAGAGGTGGCAGAAGGTGAAGCTGAGGCCGAGAGCGTGCGACTTTCGTTGGAGCGACCACAACGTAAAGCCGCATTAGAATGTAAAGCAAAAATTGCCAGGAGTGCTAGTTGAACTAGCACTTCCCTCGTTGGGGAATGTATTGGAAATTATAAATTAAAATCTTAATTTTAAAATTAAAAAAGTCTATATTAAGTTTCCGCGTTTCTTTTTGTAGAAAGTAATAGGCATATTGTGTGATCTTGACGTTTATAGCTGTCTGAGGAAGACCTAACCAGCTGATGAAAACTTTGTCCACATCTTGATGCTTAAGACCAATACTTGAGCTTCTTCAAACAAATTCCTTATATCAATGATCATTTTTTAGTGTAAATTCTTGAATAAATAATACGGCAAAATCTCGATAGCTTTTGTATTACTATCATTCCCAATATAATAATGTATAAGATGAATATCATTCTCTTCAAATTCGGAAGAGAATGATAAATATATTCTTCCAAATATCATTCTGTGATGGTACTCAGAAGATATCATCACAGAATGATATCTTCTGAATAATTAAATGAATCATTCCAAGTGCAGCAGCTTTACTGTTGCTCTTGTGCATTAAATTGTGTACAAGGTTTGGCCAGCAGGTTCAGTCTTCCATTGGTCACCAAATGATCAGGAGCAGCTGCATGCATGTGCAGGGTTCGTTTGGAAGATACTGCCATATCAACCCAGGTGTTCTGTTGCAAACAGCCATGAACTTTATTTTATTGCCTACAATACATACTACACAGATTATATTGAATTTCAAGATAATTCCATCCACAAATTAAGTGATCTGATTAAATACTAAACAAATAACCTTGAGTGATTGGTCCACTTAAGAGGCAAGTATAACCAAAATTAGCCTAGTGATGATGATTGATGAGTAAGATTGGTAATGTGATTAATAAAGCTATATTTTCCCAAATTCAAAATTTTCAAGGATTAGAATTGTCATGTACTTGGTAATTTAATTTAGTTTAATTGACTGGGCTAGTCTTAACAAAGTGAATAGCATGCAGATCAACATAATCTAATACAATAGAGGAAAATTTCAGAACACACAAAGGCTTCACCATCAGCTGTTGTCATACTGTCAACTCCTTGTTTGAATTTAAATGCCATGCAAATAATCTATTTCTTAATTGAAACAAGAAACTAGGAGTATTTTATTTACCTTTTTCAATTTTCAGATTAGCAAAAGTGATGCAAAATATAATATGTAATTTAAAATTATTGATTTCATGAGGAAGTTGACAAGTCAGTCAGTGTGACTGAATTGGGATGGCAGTATTCAGGTGTAAAAGTTTTCTTTAACATGGTTTTGCTTGTGCTCTTTGTTTCTTCTGGCTGCTTACGTGCAATGTGTGCCATTTGAAACTAGTATAAATTGGTATAAGCTTGAAAAACCATGTTCATGTTCATTATGATTTAAAATATGGTGCTAGTGGCCCACATTGTTTCATAACTAGTAAAAACCAGTATAATCTGAAAAGCAGTGTTTGTGTCTATTACAATGTGGTGCATTTAAACAATGACTTTATTGACCTTATTGGTCACTGATGTGTACCTAAGAGCCCAAGGCTTGGTATTTTACTGTAACTTTGGCACATTGGTTTTATATTATGCTTGGTGTAGTGTGAAAAATTAAAGTGACTTTTCCCTGGCATTCTGCATACTCAGGCATACACACAACACCTTAAGGCATAGATATAAAAACTTGATCGATGTCATAAAAGTCATAAATCATCGCAAAAGTTTGTATATATATTATTATAGCTCTTGCAGTTTGTTAATGCATTTTGTTAAACTATTCTTTAGATAAGTCTATTAACTTGTCAATTGATTGACCCTCGTTATGAAGAGTTTGGCAATTGTGTTGCCAAGATTGGGGTTTTAGGCTCAAAGTGTCAAAAATATTATTAAAAAGTTGTCACCAGAACAACTTAAGCCATCAAGATTTTTTGCCAAAACATTGCGTAAACAGTTATTAGACAAGAAATTAGTATGGCAAGATCTTCCAAAGACATAGATTTTAGTGCTGATGTGTTGCCAAAGATCTTCAAAGTTTTGCCCACTCTCTGCACCCTATATTAATCCTTTTATGTTTTCTCCCTGCCAGCAATAGCACAATTTCAGCTCAATGGAATCTTCACAGCTTTGTGTGGTGTCTTACTTGCTTGGTAGCCGCAAGACATGGATGGTTCCTAGAGTGGGAAGCACCATGGAACTGATGCATCAGTTGCAAAACCTGGAGGTAAGTTGAACACTTATTTCCTTCTTGGCATAGTAGATACTGGTATTTCTTCAGATTTGCTGATCAATTATTATGCTTCATTAATTTTTGAAAACAGTTTTTACAGTTAATTTAGTATTAACTTGAACTAAGAAGTAGTGAATACATTTTGATTTTTAATCGCTTTGTAGAAATATTTATGTTCACAATTTTGATATTATATGTTCTCTGACATTATTACTATTTGTATTTATTACTGCAGGGTTGTCCCACATCGAGCATGTCTGTGCAATGTGCTGGTCATGTTCTGCAGCCTCATGATGTTTTGCCGACTGTGGACTCAACCATCACTGTCATGCTCACTTTGCCAGGGGGTAAAGGTGGCTTTGGTTCTATGCTTCGAGCTATTGGTGAGTTCACCCAGCATTAATTATTGCCATGAAAAAAAATTTTAATTCTACTTGTGGCAAATGACACCCAAACCCACCATTTTTTGTTAGGTATTTGAAATGATGCAAGGCAAAGTATTTTGGTATTTATATTGTTGCTGTTTAAGGTTGCAAGCATTAGGGTACGCACACAGTGAAAGCAGGTTTGCCCGCGCGGGCAACCTGCTCCAACCTGCCACAAGAATGAACATAGGATAATAATGTAAGTGTTCACAGTGAAAACCTGTACGAATAGGCGTCTGTATTCTATGGTTTATGGCGCCAGCCTGAGCAGGTAACCAGCACGCTGGCAACCTGCTTTCACTGTGGGCGTACCCTAAGAGTGTCAAATTGAATCTCTGCTTCAATTTATATAGTATTCATGCAATGCAATTTGAAACACTGTTTGAATCTCAAGCTGCTGTCATGCTTAGATTACTGGTGCATCATAATGTCTATGATATTCATGCAGGCGCTCAAATTGAGAAGACGACAAACAAAGAAGCCTGCCGCGACCTCAGCGGCCGACGACTGCGTGACATCAACCAAGAGAAGAAGCTCAAGGAAGCTCTGCAGAAACGAGCCGAGAAAGAAAGAGAAAGGATTGCCAATAGAAAAAAGAAATTTGAGGCTCTTAAGGAGACGCCAAAACACATTTTTAGCGATAGCACTTTCCACCAAGAGCAAGAAGAAATAACGTCTGCATTGTTTCAATCTGTGGAGAAAGGTTTACAAGTCGCGGCTAAGGAATCTTCTCCGTGCTCGTCGTCCATATCACCTCAGTCTAGCTCGGCTGGCTCAGATGACAATGAGACCAAAGACTCGCAGAAAATTACTCAGAAAAGAAAGCTTTCTAAAGAAGAAAATATTCAGAAACTGAAAAAAGGAAGATTTTATGATGATCTTGACGAGTCCAGTGATGAGTCAGATTGAACTATCCCTACTGAGTGTTGACACAGCATGTCAAGGTAGTCTAATATTTTTTAATGTAGTTTGCTGTTAATGTCATCTACTCGTACGAAAGTACAGTTGTATACCTTTATTTGATGTTGTCACTTTTGATCTTTTGTCTTTACATGCGTAATTAATCGAAATGAATTATGAATTCATTACCTGTATTGCTGATCGCCTTATTTCCAGTACGACATTAGTTAATTTCTTCCTATCATGTCGATGTCTCGAAACTTATTGGACTATTCCGTTGCTAACTTAACCAAGGAGCAAGGACTAACCAGGTGCGAGTTATCATTCGGCCAGCGTGTGCTTGTTCTCTGTGTGTGAGTTTTAGTTCCTATCGACATGCTGAGAAATTATTAGACTATGTAGTTAAGTAGTTCAACTTAATCCGTTTCGTCAAGTTAGGTTTTCATTTCATCTCAAGTAAACAGTCTACCGAATCGTGAGAGTGCTGCGTCCGGTTATATTGTTTGCTTTATTAGTACTTCTAATTGATGTACACATGTGTCACGCGGTCTCTAGGATGAGCTCAATTTTCTCTGGATCATTATATAATACTTGCTTTGTATGCTAATTGTAGGTGATTTCTTGCTTCCAATAACGACTTGAACTTCTACCAGCTCCATCTATACGAGTGGCTTCATTAACTAACTAATAACGGCAACAAAGGTACAATAAACTGTTTACAATTCACTTATCTAACATTACATTTGCCTTGAAAGTTTTGTATAATTATGGCATTGGGCGGCACGTCTGAAAATACTGTACTGGATAGTGAATATTTGAGCTATCCTTGGAACCCATTGCATGCTTGTCTTCGGACGGTCATGTCTGTGCTCGTATTCGTTGGTGCAGCTCATGGATTATTCTATGATGCTCGCATTTCGTTCATAGTTAACTGTTTGTACAACTTCTTGTTCTAAATAAATATATACTTCTAGGGAACTTTTTGTCATAATTGTCTATACGATTTACACAGAAAATTTGCGTGTAACATCATTCATGGTTTTCGTTCTGAGCTGCATTTCAGTAAAATTTATCTCGTGTCATGTTCGAGGTTAGCACGCAGCCAGCCGTTCTCCGTAACACATCATTGATAACTTCGTGAAATAAAATGTTTTAACTGTAGTTGAAGGGTTATGAGCCTTAAACCTAGGCAGGACGAGTTATTTCCCAACGATAAAAATCCACACGAACAGTAAATTTCTATTGATACTTTTCTCCCATGTGTTTGATATGTCTGAACTTCATTACACCAACAATTGCCTTCTCTCGGAAAAGTATGTATAGGAATATAATAAACGATGAAACTCGTAGCGAGCATCGAGGTTTAAATTGTACTGGGCAGCAAAATCATATTATTTAATTGAAAGCATTTAACGTATGCGTCGACAACAGGTCAAATAAAAGAAGACTGAAGCCCTGAGATGTTAATGACAAAGCGGTCAACAGGCGTCAGACGAAGCTTCGAAGTTATATGAAAGTAGCAGCTGCAAATGCAACCATGCTGCAAATGAACGGTGACGCGTGGCGCCACTGCAGCTGCACCGCTCTTTGGTGGTTGCCGCACTCGCAAATGGGCCAATTGCTGTCCATGTTGTACAGCAGCTGTGGTGTGCTGAGGACGTTGGAACACAATAGTTTTATGCTTTTTGTTTGGGCTCGCCCAACGTTCACAATCCATTCTAAGATTCTTTCCAGCTGTATTTCACACCTCAGTGTTGCTTTCATTCTTCTCTTCCTAAACTTTTCCATTCCTTATCGTCCCTCAATGCCTTCACTGCAGTCCATCCGGGAGCCCTAAGTGCCAGTCTAGCTACCCTATTCTATTAATAATAATAATAGCAGTTTCAGCGTTTAGTAGGCCTTAGGCCTGTCGCCGATTCCTAACATCGCAGAACATTCACAGCATATGCGGTGTCGAACTCGCAACTCACTGCTACAATTCTGCTGTGATTAGCGGCCCGGACTCAAGACTTTTTGTCCATGAGGTCCCTCTTTGTCTATATTCCATGTGTAATCTGTCCAGCTTCGTATCATGCCAGCAGCCACATCCATTCCATACATAATCCGTGGAACTAACACTCACTTGCATGCCAGCTACTCTCAGGACATCACAGCTACTTGCTCTAGCTTGAATTCGCCTGAGTAAAACTTCGTAGTGCCTTTAAATGACTTCGTATTTTGGGCGATTCATACAGGTTTTCCTGTCCCATCGACCACACCACCTATTTTTAATTATTAAATTAATATCGTGAGCATTGTGTCATCCAACAATTCAATTCCGATTAGTCGATTACTGATATGAACGACACGTCTAAATTTCATTTGGTTACTGCGCAATTTAATGAAATGTCTCGCTTATTATTATTGTAACCGAATTAGATAAGGATGGTTGTCTGTATCTATCAGAATATTTAAACAGAATCATTGTTTAAGCCGAAAGCTCTAGGAACTACAGGACCATGAAAATACAACTACGACCAGTTTAAAGCAAAAGCAACAGAAAATATTTGAGGTACTTCAGCCCCTTCAATTTACAATAAAATTAAAAATAGAATATGTTATATAGATTAAATTTGACCAAATCCTTTTTTAAATTGCAAACGAACGATCTGACATTTATTAATGTACTTTAGAAATGTTTCGTTCGTTATAACGAGGTCCTATCAGCCGATCAATAAACCTTTCAGAATTACCTCTTTAATCTTAATGAGCTCTATTGTCGAAAATCACAATGCCCCCAATAACGCGCCGCACTTGCACCTAAAATCAGTATTGTATATCCATGAAACTCAACTTATTCATTAAAGTAAACATAAACGATTTTATGCGCACCTAAAAATTGTTATATGAATTGCTGATTCAACTTATATTCATTTGACATAAGCTGATATATTCGAATGCAAAATATGCCTCTAATCCTATAAAATGAAAAATGAGTATCATATGTTGATTTCAGAAACTCGGCGTGAATTTTTCGTGTTCTACTTACTTAATAGATGAATGAACATGTGCTTCCGTAGGAAACACTGCACTGTTTTGAAATTTTTATTAAGGGCTCTTGTGAAATATGTACAATTAAACTCTGTAAAATGAAGTTACTCAGATTCAAGTATGATCAGGATCTCAAAACGGAGAAATTATCGATGCTCGTTTGTTTGTTTTGATTTAAAGGGAGAGGTCGTCCCCCTTCATCTCGTTACTTGTTACGTCTATAGCAAGTTTTTTTGACACTGCCGTGTAGTGATGCCGCGTCCATCAAGAGCTGTGAGTTTAATTAAGATTTTGACACTTCTGATCTGTGATGATAGAAATATGCAGTCCGTATTGACGGGATTTGTGCCAACTTTGATACGCATTTCAAATATAAATAAAATGAATGCCTTCTTTTATTATTACTCTACACAATATCACTGTAAATGTTGACCGCCAAATTTACCTATAACTCAGGCTAACTGTAAATGGTTTTTACAGTGTATCAAGCTTGAACAATTACAATGTAGTGCACTACAGTGACTACTCAGTAGTTAGGTAGGCTACTAGGCAGTAGGCACTAGGGTGACATTTTTTATTGAAAAATGTTGAAGTTACACAATACATTTTTTCTACAAGTTTGTCATTTTTACCATCCAGTGTTTTACATTATTTTTATTTGAGACACTTTATCAAATAAATTTTACAAGTGATATGGTAATTTGTAATAATTTTTTTTGACTTATAATTTTTTTCAGCATTAGAATCCAAATTGGAAAAATCTACTATTTTAGCTGTGGTTGAATTTTTTTATTTATTTTTTTGATATGAAATTAGAAATAAGGGTAGGTAGGTATTGATACTTTGATAGACAGTTCCAGACTGGAATATCAGGCAGAAGCCACCCATTACTGGTATATGAGCAAAAATAACCCTTGCATTTGGGACAATTTCACCCTTGGGCCATGGCCCAAGCATGGAAAACTTCTAACCTTAGGGATGCAACTAGGGTAAACGGGGTATATTCCGACATCGTAGGTAATTCCGTCACCTCTCCTGCTTTTCCTTTATATTAAGCTTTGTTTTAGTTCCATGCGTTCATTGATGGTTGAAATGGTGACGTCATACATTTGCGTGTCGAAATACTGCAAAAACACTAGGTCTTGGCCATCTAGTGGGAAAATATTGAAATCCAAAGAGAGACAATGCATGCCACGTGGTGAGATCATCGAAAAATGTGTCAAATTTGACAGTTGACATGGCTCTACCAAATAGTGAATAACTGTTTTTATAGGAAGAATATTATGGTTTGAGACTTTTAAATACGTCTGTGAATATATTAGGAATCCTTTAAGTATACTTGTATTCGCTGATTTCAAGTCGTAAATAAATTAATAGATGATTAAGTTGAGATGTTGGATTTCGACACATGAAAACTAATTCCGACACAACTTGAATTGGACACACACAGATCGTTCAAAGCTTTGTACAAAAATTGAAATTTGCTTAATTAAAAGCCTAATAGCTGTTAATTAAAACGTAATTAAGTAGTGTTCAATATTCGTTAGTGTTCTAATTCAAAGCCGTGTTGTATCCCAATACAGCTCACACAGCAAACGGAATTCGAACACGTGGATGTCGGCAATACGTATCAGTTAAATTTGAAGCGCTGACGCAATACGACTCACCACGTGTCGGATGTTGCCACCCAAAGTGACGGAATATAGGGATTTGGTAGGTTTCCATTCTAAAGGCTTTTTAATAAATATGGCAACATTTTGTGACGTTTCATCGTTGCTGACGCGTAGTGAAGTGTTTTGAGAGTCATGTGAAGGCAACAGAACTTACGTAACGCATACGTTTTTTTTATAGTTTTTCATTTCTCGATGCGTCCTTAATGTGTCGGAATATACCGCGTTTACCCTAGAGCTTTCCTACCATCATAGTGACATACCAGAGATTTTTTAGAATCAGTTCATTTTTAATATTCTCATTTACTCAAGATTTAAACCGATTTCTCAAGTATGATAATGCTGGTATCCATGATATTTTACTAGTCTACTTATAGGACTCAAAAATGAACTTGCGGCAGTGTCTAAAAAACTCTCTGCTTTGCCACTATCCCCGCCATTTGCGGGAATGCCAAATTTCTGCCAGATGAATTACGTCTTCTATAATTTTTAACAAAAATGCACTATTGGGCCGCAAGATTCCAAGTGTATCAAAAACTTGTCATGTTGGAGCCTCAAAATTCCAGAAACAAGTAGGAAAATTTTGATCCTGCCATGGCCGTTGCCATGGGTGATTTCACCTCTAGTCATGGCCATGGATATTTTCACCCCTGGCATGGATAATTTCACCCATGCCTGTTGTGCTACGATTTCACCACTCCCAAGTAATTGCCAAAAGCCGGTAAAAACTAAAAAGCATTTCACCAGAAATAATTCATTACTTCATTTACTTGTAAGTTGTAAGGCTCAAGGCTGTACTGCATTTGTCATACCTTCTAAGGCTTCTTCCACAGATATCACTCTGAAAGCCAGGATTGAATTCTAAAAAGTAAGGTTCATATATTATTTTCAATCCACTTCCACCACTTTTTTGATTCACAACTTTTTGTTGAGATAGATAGGATAAAAATATGAGATTAGGGGGGATTAAAGTCACACTTGAAAGAATCAAGCATGAAAGTTGTAATACTTTGAGATTTCAATTAAACTAAATATTAATTCATTAGCAATTCATCTCCAAGTCAAACAACAAATTAAAATTCATAAATTAATAACTAATTGCCGCCAATAAGAGTTGAACATGATGCACCGTAAAGAAGCTAATTCATAAGAGCAAAATCTTATACCCGTTCACTTGGTGAAAGCTAACAAGCAACTGTCTATGATGGTTGGCAATGTTGATGCCGCTTCTCAAAGTACGACATTGTAACAGTAATATTACGGTATGTGAGTACTGTAGTATTACGGTATTTACCATAAGTATTATGGTAGTTTCACTAATGTATTCAGGAAAAGATTCTGAAATAGAAGCGACACTGCCATTCTTATATATAAATGGGATTAAGAAAATACCTGTCAAATTATTTATTGTTATGCAATTTGGGATGCATGGAATACAATTTTACTTTCATTCATTTTTACCGGCTGCAGCTGTAGAATTAAATTTTTGAAATAAATTAAAATTAAATTTTATTAAATTTAATATAATTTAATAAAATTTTACACATGCTGTCAAATTAAATTATGTTAAAAAAATGTTTAATTAAAAATTTTATTTAATATTTTAAAATTAAAAATTAATTTTTATTAAATTAAATTGAATTATTTAATACACCTCATGGTACATGCCTAAGCGCTCAATGATTTATTTAATGCAATAATTGCACCTTTTGAACAGCAAACTTTTTCTTAAAGACACAAAATGTTCGAAAACTTGAGATGGGACACAAAATCATTCAGAATCTGAAGTGAAGTTAATTAGGCAATATTCACAAAAAGGACAAAAACATAAAAAAATCCATATCAGGACGTGCATCAATAGGTGTTTAAAATTTGAAACAACTTTCCATCATTTAAATCTCAGTGTGGAATGTGAATCAAATCTATTTATTGTGAAATCAAACTTGACATTACCAAAACAAGGTGTGGGACACTGTTTTGGTGATGTGCTTGTCACATGTTAACATGACGGCACAAAGTGCCATACACAATGCAAAATATGCAGTTTATCCCATCCTTTCTTGAGGTTTGAAACTTCGTAGGTATTTGTGAAATCATGAAAATTTTCTGCTAAAGCTGACACAATTTTTTCTATTTTATAACATATTCATTGCAAATATTTGTCAGCTATGGATAAATGACTAGTGAAAGTAATTGAGTAAGGTATTGCCTACCCGATATTGAATTCCATATGTGCGCAATATTGGAAGCAAGGCAGTTTCTGACTAGCTCAGTGTATCAATTTTCACTGAGATGGAAGGTGTTACATGGTAGGTTTTTCGATACATTTTTGTATATAAACATCAGAATATATTACCTATCCAGAATTCCACACTGTTGTGGTGGCCACTTGGAAAAATGACTATTTTTTGAACTGCAACCAGAGCATTCCCACCATTTTTGAGCTGTAAGATTCCCTTCCCACTAAATGAAAGCCTCATAGTTAATTGTTAATCAAGGTGCAAATTTGGATTATCAATTGGTAAAAACAAACATTTCATAGGTAATTTTAGAAAATCATGGGTATCAATAGCTGCTTATCCTATTTGAAATAAAGAAATTTGGAAATGTTTTTGTCCAATTCATGGATGGCTTAGTCAACCCTTTAGCAGGCAAGCATTGAAATATCCAGAAACTAAACTTTCAGAAATAATTTAAAGAAAATAAGAAGTATTATATAATATATTTATTTATATGTATTTTCAAAAATTTTGCCTATTGAAGCTGAAGGTTTAAATATCACTTGAAGAATTCATTAAATACGGTTAGTACACAAAATTTTTCTTTATCATTAAAATTTAGTTTATGCAAATGAAAAATCATTAACATAATAGTTTAATTTAATTAAATTTGATCTAGTTACCTGAAATGCTTAAATATACATTGATACCTCACCCTTTTGAAAAAAATGCCGCTAAAGAGTCAGTTCCATTGTCCAAGTCCAAACCTTCATTTAAATGCTCATATTTTAATTTGTGGGCATTGCTGGTGGTGAGGCTGGGGATGGAACGATGGTCAGATAATTAGTGATTGACTGAGTCATGATAAGGAAGCCTCAAACACAAATGGGAAGCCATAGGGGGAATTTTGGTGAGGCAATTTCAAGTGATCATATATGGTAACTTGCCTGTGAAAGGGCTAAAGGTATACAATTGGGCCATAAGATTCCAAATAAATTGAAGATTTGTCACTATGTGGGGGCAACAAGATTCCTCTAGAAGGTTGGAAAATTGTAATCCTTGTGCTGGCTTGCTTGTTAAAAAATAGAAATCTAATTATTTGTGGGTCCCAACTCATTAGTTACCGTATACGTATAGAGATGGCAGGTCCATCCAATGATAGTCAATTATGCTTTTGAAAGAGTTCCCAAGTATATAGTCAGATGGGGTAAGATGGGATCACAGCCTTCATGGGGTAAGAAAGGACCAGCCTATGGCATGCATATTGATTGCACTGAGTTCAATTTGATATAAGAATCTGTTAGAGCAATTATTTCCTGTCATTTCAGTGTTTGTTTCAACAATATACTGCAAATAATGAATTCTAGGAAATTTGTTTTAAAAAACTTATGTGGAGATAGGTCAGGAAATATAGGTAGCAGAGACTACAATATTGGCCAGATTATTTCGTTAGTAATAAATAAGCAATGCACAATTAAGTTTCCCATGATTTTAAACTTTAGCTGGTTTTTGTATATAAAGCTTTGTAGAAGTACTTCTGAGTTCCATTGCAGTGTCTTACATGAATGTTAAGAGCTAAACCTTGTAGTACCCATGAAAATATTTGTAAACCTCAATCAAATTGCTGCTTGGATGTTGGTGTTCCATGCAAGGTAGTTTCTGTGATGGCAGTCTCTTGGAGTAGGGCTTGTCTTTAAGCATATCTAGATGTTGTGTTGCTTTACTTAGCGCATCTTCCATGTTGCTGCAAAGGGTCTTATTGTGGGGTTGCCAACTGCCGTGTCCATAATATACTAGGAACTCAAACTTAACCTAATGACTGCCGCTCTCAGAACAGTTTGTGAAAAAATGACACCATTGTATCCATTGTATATGGTACAAATTGCAGTCAAAGTGTTGAAAGTATATCTGGAATAGTTTATTTGAATTTTGCTCTCTAATTTGATTGCACTAATTCTAAGCCATTTCTAAAATCAAAGGCAATTGATTTAGATTTTAAAATGTTTGTAATTAATTATATGCCTGTTTATAAAATTTGCTAAATGCATTTTTCTAAGATTTTTATAATTCATTCCACAGCCAGCAAAGGAATTTTCTGTAAGTATACATGCATTAAAAAAATGCTTCAGACAACCTTACAAAGGCTTTGTTGTTTTGAGAATTGTTCAAGTAAATCTCTGCAGCCCGACCTTGTCAGGTTCATATCTTACATACAAATATATTCGCAACATTTAGAAGGCCTAATATTTCTAACATAAGTGAGCTCTCTACAGTATAACACATCATCAGACACTAGCAAAAATAAACTTACTGATGATCTAGTAAATTTACAGTCTTTTTGAAAATTTGCAACATTTTTTATTTCCATTCATTGTATAGGTGTATGATTAGTCAAATTGCTAGTACAATTGAGCAAATTATACAAGTTTATTAAAAAAACTTGGTTTCTATATGCACTTATCTCATAATTGGTATATAATTGTTTACAGGCCAGCCGCCAAACAGTCTTGAGAGATGCTGCTAGTGAAGATGATGACAATCAAGATGACTTGATGGAAGTGCCAGGTGAACTTTTTAGTCATTTAATTCCATTTAGACCTTATATTACTAGGTAATAATATTAGCACTTTGAAAACTGTTATACTTTCATACTGCTGCATTTCAGTATCATTTAGCAGTGAATTGTGTTTTCTCTTTTGGAGAAACCTTCCTCAGCAGCAATTGATGATTTTGAACTTTGGTAAACATTTCTTCAGTCAATGGTAAACAATCTACCTCCAAATGTTGAACATTCCTTATGTTGTTTTGGTCATATTATTGGTTGAAGTACATTCCTTGTTTAAATCTCTTGGTTCTACATTTCAGTTATATGCATATATATATATATAGTACTTGAGTATATTCTTTTTATACCATCTTATTTGAGCTTTGGATGTCCCTCAAATATGATTTTTAGCATTTAAATTCCTAGGTATATGCTATGGATTGTGCCATCCACTGCACAATTATTGCAGTAACTCGACTGCTCACTCATTACAGTCACTGCATGCACTGCTCATTACAGTCACTCCAAGCAACATTACAGTGACTGTAACAGCTCATACATTACAGTGACTGTAACAGCTCATTATACATTACAGTGACTGTAACAGCTCATACATTACAGTGACTGTAACAGCTCATACATTACAGTGACTGTAACATTACAGTGACCCCCTCAACAAGCATCAAGAAGGATGGCAGGGTGACGGGCAGGAGCAGCATGACGTCCTCCTCCATGAGTGGGGGCAGCAGCGCCAGCAGCTCTGGGGGACTACACCCCCTGCTGCACAGCAGCGCCCCCCACTACCCCAGCTCTTCCTCCTCCTCATCATCTTCTGCTCTGCACAAAATGAGTATGTTGGGTGAGTTAATGTAGTTACGTTTAATGACAAGTCACTTATATAAGTCATGTTGTGCTGCACAAAATGAGTATGTTGGGTGAGTTAACATAGATACGTTTAATGACAAGTCACTTATATAAGTCATGTTGTGCTGCACAAAATGAGTATGTTGGGTGAGTTAACATAGATACGTTTAATGACAAGTCACTTATATAAGTCATGTTGTGCTGCACAAAATGAGTATGTTGGGTGAGTTAACATAGTTTTGTTTAATGTCAAGTCACTTATATAAGTCATGTTATGCTGCACAAAATGAGTATGTTGGGTGAGTTAATGTAGTTATGTTTAATGACAAGTCACTTCTAAAAGTCATGTTTGAATTAGCTATTTATTCAGGTATTCTGGGTCAAAGAATTTATCACAAGTTATGCCAGCTTTGAAAATTTTCTAAGTACCGTAGGTACTATGCATAAGAGAATGGATGAAAGTGGCTAAACCATCTCAATTTATTTGTAATTTTGGAATTGTATATATGTTTTTTGGCATTTATAAGTGATCGGTAGTTAGCAGCCCACTTACGTGTTTCAAAACACTAGTCCATTTTAGTCAATTGTACTCAACTTAGTATGATGTCACAAATATTTTCGTATATATTTTTGTATGACGTCACAATCAATATTCTAACTCGGCAAGTTTGTTCAGCTTAGTGTAGGTATTGGAATAGATACCTATACCTATTATTTGTTCAATTGGGTATTTAAGAATTAAGGTAATTTTTGTTTATTCCTATTTCTTTGCACCTAATGTCGGCATTGTTTAAAGGGTTAATGCATATGAATTTGTCAGATGTTTGGTACAGCTTTGGAGTGATACCATCACTTTGTTGAGCAGGCAGCATGGATGCTTTACGCGGCCTGAGCAGCGCAGGAGCCGGCAGCGGGGGAGTGAGTTTACAGCAACAGCAGCTCATGCAGCAGCACCTACTGCAACAACAGCTACAGCAACAGAATGCCGCTATGCTCAATAAAAGTTATTACAGTAATCACATGCAGCGGCCTGATGGTTACATGACACAGATGCAGCAACTGCAGCAAAGAGGTTTTTATTGTAATACCAGAGGACTACTCTTCTCATGCATGTTGAAGGCTGGAAGACGCGTTTGTTATGGAACTTGTAACTGCTGGTTGCTCTCTGTTTGAGGCTGTGTCTATTCTTCTGTGAAGCAATTCTTGTTTTTGTATCGTTAAATTTGTAAAATCTTTGTATTTCCTACTAAGCCAGTTGCTAAATAAGGATGGGTTAAATTTATAAAATCTTTGTATTTCCTACTAAGACAGTTGGTAAATAAGGATGGTAATCTTTTAATGACAATTAAATGTTTGCCTTGAGAATCAATAAGATTGTCTTCCAGCTGCTTATTCTGTTTAAGATTACAATATACTTTTTAGGATTTTAACTTAAATCACTTTTTAAGATTTTAATCTTTTCCTGCTAGTAAGTAGACTGCATGGAGCAAAATCTACTATAATATAACGCATTATTTACGTAGAGGCAACTTTCTTGAAAGCTAATGCTCTGAGAGCATCTAATTGCACTAAGAGCATCTACTGCTTGCTCTATTATCCAGGAATTTAAAAGCTAAGAAAATACCACAAAAATTCACCATATCTTTATAAGAGAAAACGTTTCGGAGTCCAGCTCCATCGTCAGTTCAAAACACAAAATTCTGTTCAGAAAAAGTTCAGTCCTAGGAACACAAATAAATCAATTAGTAAAGTAAAATCATGCATTGCTCTATTATTATTCTCAACATTCTTCTCCTCTTGTTGCCTTATTGTGTGTAGACATTCAAGAAAGAGAGAATATTAAGGCTTCTTTAGCGTACGGTATTCTTTAATGATATGTATAATTTCCGTCACTACAATTGTCCTACTTCTTGAACCTGAGAAAAAAAACACTCAGTTCACTTGTAAATGCTAGATGTTGAGATTAGCATGTTCTGGTTTCTACCCGCTAATGGTTTACCAATGCTAGATAAATACTCTATGAGAATGAACTACCCGATCATCTGAAATGTTGTTCAAACAGTTTGGAACTTTGTTGTATATAATGATCACTGTATCATCTTCAAAAACTAAGTTTCTAAAACGATGTTCACTCTTCATTAGTGTGTGTTTGTTGCAACTGATACGCTGAAAAGAATCAATGTGTCTGGCTGAAAACTCTCTAAGTAAACCCTAATTTTGCTGTTTTTGTCAGGAATGGGCGGGCTGATGGCAAGTCTATTGGGAGCCCAAAACCCCGGCGTGTCAAGTGGACTTGGTGGCCTAGGTGGTCTTGGGAGTCTGGGGGCAGCGGCTAGCATGAGCGGCATGCTGGGCATGGCGGCGGCGGCCGGCGGACCGCGACCGGGCTTTGACATGAGCAACCCGGTCATGGCTCAGCTCATGCTGCAGCAGGTGATGTCGCTTATTATTTTCTTAACATCTGATAGTTACATACTATGTATGTAATAGTATGTATAGTTACATGCTATGTATGTAATACTATGTATAGCTGCATACTATGTGTGTAATACTATGTATAGTTGCATACTATGTGTGTAATACTATGTATAGTTACATACTATGTATGTAATACTATGTATAGTTGCATACTATGTGTGTAATACTATGTATAGCTGCATACTATGTGTGTAATACTATGTATAGTTGCATACTATGTGTGTAATACTATGTATAGTTACATACTATGTATGTAATACTATGTATGTAACCTTGATGCCCAACGTGACGTTCAGCAAAAGATAGCGTCTTCTGAAGTGCTGGTAATTGTAGTAATTGATCTGAATAACAACAATCATAATTAGAATGTTACATCAACATTAAAAGGTAATGTTGTAAGATGAAGCTCCGGTTCATTACAAATATGTAGGCCTATATATGCTGGGTAATGTTTCTGCCCGCAATATTTCCCATGTTGTTGAGTGTTGAACGCGGAGTTAGGGAAGACGTGGTCGCTGGTGTTAAGGCAGCTGGAAGCGGGGAGTGAGATCCCTCTTGATATTTTAATGTTATCAGGTCTTCTATTAATCTAATAAATATTCACTCGTGAAGGATGTCCGAAGAAAGTTTAAAGACAGTTGTCAAAGGCATTGGGATCATCGAGAAATATTGTAATATAATAGTGTGGGAGCCGAGTTTATACCGCCGTGTATGAAGAAGAGTGTGCAAGAGTTGGTGTTTGTTGCAAATGAGTTCTGTATTGGATGCATTGCGTATGATTAAACGAACAAAACACTTGAATTAAACACTTGAATGAATATTCAGACATTTATTATACAATTAGAGGGAACGTGGGACAGCCATTTACTTCCCTTAGTAGGATTTCCACATTCAAGATGAAGCCTAATGTTTCGGCAGCATCAATCTGGTTATGCTCTAAGCAGTATAAGATTCAATGAAGCAAGGTGCATTTCCTAGTAAAATTGTTGTCAAATCATTCACTATGGTGTTAGTAATTCATGACTTTTTAGTGCATTTTCTTATTTATGGAGAAAAGGCGCTTTTGTGCTCATGTCAGTCCGTCCGTCCGTCCTTTCGTCTGTCCGTGACTTCATGGATGGACGAGAAAATGCGCTGTGTCACTCACTGCAGTGAGGACTGATCTATTTTTTGAAGTGGTTAATGTGAGCTCAGGGTGCTGTGTTTAATAATAATTTCAAACCCAACTTTATGAAAGAGGTTTTCATTCTAGAATTTTTTGTTGCTGCAATTTATAATGAAGTTGATTGTGTGCAGGCGATGAGCATGGCGCAAACGGGCGCTCCACAGATGCAGAAGCTGCTCGGCATGTACCCTGGGGTGAGTTTTCTGTCGGTTCTCTTACGGTTGTGTATGTGCAGTGATATTTATACCACTGCAGTGCATATTATTCATGTATAATGTATAAGTTTGTTCACATGTGCGCTGCTGGGCTTGTGGGCCTAACAGTGTTGGTGCAAATTTTGCATGTCACTCCCTCCTTAAATATGGACAACTGTAATGTTCTTTGTCTCTATACATTTAGAATTTCGCCGCACTGCAGAATAATGTCTTTATATTCTGTAGTGTTTAGGCTCTAATGTTCTTGTGCTGTGGGTAAATTCTCGAGAAACGAGGGGGCTTGTGATAAGCTGTAGAATCCAACACGGTGTACAGTTTTATTTACAAGACAATTGAATAATTTCTTCATTGCGACAGCCGTAATAAAGTGATCTCACTAATGCTTCTTCCCTGTCTTCATGATCTCACGATCTCACTTCCTTACCATCCTTCACATTTTGTTGTTCTGGTTGTCTGTTTTTAATCATTTGCAAAATTTTGTCAATCGTTAATGCTTATATAATTGCAACTTAATTTTGTACAAATTCCTTAAGCGATTCTTGTTTTTGAAATAATTGTTTTGTTCATATATTTTTGATCCAATGAAACTTTGTTCATTTGCCTGTGTCGCCCGTGGGCCATTCTTCAATTTGTTCTCATGCACCTTTCAATTTATTCAAGAATTCTTACCATCTCTGTATTTTTTTTACCTTACATTATTCCTCACTTATCTCTGTATTGATATTTCTTTGCTTCCATTTGTTTGATATTCCTTATTGTTTGAACGTGTCACGTTTCTGTTCGGCTGAGTTATTTCCATGTTGCCGCCTTGTTTACACTCGCGCATTCGTTGCCCTCCTTGCCTCTGTCCCGTCCATGCCTCTGTCCCTCTCTTGCCTCTGTCCCGCCCTTGTCTCTGTCCCTCCCTTGCCTCTGTCCCTCTCTTGCCTCTGTCCCGTCCATGCCTATGTCCCGCCCTTGCCTCTGTCCCCTCCTTGCCTCTGTCCCGCCCTTGCCTCTGTCCCGCCCTTGCCTCTGTCCCGCCCTTGCCTCTGTCCCGTCCATGCCTCTGTCCCGCCCTTGCCTCTGTCCCGTCCTTGCCTCTGCCCCGCCCTTGCCTCTCCTCTCGAGTGGCGTTCATTATTTGTAGCTCCCCCTCGAGTGGCGTTCATTATTTGTAGCTCCTCTCGAGTGGCGTTCATTATTTGTAGCTCCCCGCGAGTGGCGTTCATTATTTGTAGCTCCCCTCGAGTGGCGTTCATTATTTGTAGCTCCCCGCGAGTGGCGTTCATTATTTGTAGCTCCCCGCGAGTGGCGCTCATTATTTGTAGCTCCCGTCGAGTGACGTTCATTATTTTCAGTGACTCTTCCAGGAGTATTAACAATAGTTTTTATTACGAGCATTTCAATCTTCCTTATTGGTATTTTGAAATGTTCTAATTCTTTTTTAAAGGAATGATATTTCCCCTCAAAGAGTGGCGTTTTGCGAGAATAATAAAATGTATTATCGTTTCAAAAGCTCCGTGTACGAAATTTAATGGGAGTCATGACGTGACGTTAGCTATTCACTATTTCACTATACCGTAGTGTGTTGGGCATATTTCTGCTCTGGTTACAAAAAAACTTGTTCGGTTTTTCTTTTATTGTGGTCCAGGGGGTCTGGTGTGTGGCCCAGACCACACCTATCGCTGTGTGGTCTGTTAAGTTTTTTTTTGCTTCAAATCTCGGTTCTTTTGTGGTCTGGTCAATTTTTTTGGCATCAAATTTGTTTTAGCTTCAGCTTTTTATTATTGAGGTTCATAAGCAACTGTTGGTGGTGCTTGCTTCAGAGGCTCCTGAAGAACGTCGGAAAATAATGTAGCGTTGAACAGAACTTCTTGTATAAATTTTAATTGAAAGTGAAAACACGTTCGTGGTGACGACTGTCTGCTACGAGGCTGCAGCTACAAATTGAGGTCTCTATACAATTAGATCTGTGATATTACAATGTCTGACATGAGCCCTCTACACAATTAGATCTGTGACATTACAATGTCTGACTTGAGCCCTCTATACAATTAGATCTGTGACATAACAATGTCTGACTCTCCTCAGATGGGCATGGCGGTGAATCCGTTGATGATGTCGCAGCCTCAGCAGGAAGAGGAGGATGACGATGAAGATATGGGCGTCGCTGAGACCTATGCTGACTACATGCCCACCAAGTGTGAGTCATAACACTGCACTTCTATGTATATGATGCAGCATAATGTATGTCACTGCACTTCTATGTGTATGATGCAGCATAATTGCGTGTTTCTTTATAAACGAGTGTGCTCATTATTAGACATTCTTAGAATTTTCACCACTCCTTGTTAACATTCATAATTGCTTCATTTGTGCATGTTTTTTGCAGAAAGTTGTGTTCATACTTTTTTGGTATTTAATTCACACATCACGTGATGTATCGTGTCTTTTATGTTACAATGACGTGTCATATTCACACATCACGTGGTGTATCATGTCTTATGTTACAATGACGTGTCATATTCACACATCACGTGGTGTATCGTGTCTTATGTTACAATGACGTGTCATATTCATACATCACGTGATGTATCATGTCTTATGTTACAATGACGTGTCATATTCACACATCACGTGATGTATCATGTCTTTTATGTTACAATGACGTGTCATATTCATACATCACGTGATGTATCATGTCTTTTATGTTACAATGACGTGTCATATTCACACATCACGTGATGTATCATGTCTTTTACGTTACAATGACGTGTCATATTCACACATCACGTGATGTATCATGTCTTATGTTACAATGACGTGTCATATTCACACATCACGTGATGTATCATGTCTTTTACGTTACAATGACGTGTCATATTCACACATCACGTGATGTATCATGTCTTATGTTACAATGACGTGTCATATTCATACATCACGTGATGTATCATGTCTTTTACGTTACAATGACATGTCATATTCACACATCACGTGATGTATCATGTCTTTTACGTTACAATGACGTGTCATATTCACACATCACGGGATGTATCATGTCTTTTACGTTACAATGACGTGTCTTATTCACACATCACGGGATGTATCATGTAATTTTATGTAACAATCACGAGTCTATTGCTATCGTTGATAGCTGTGCAAGTAAATCAGTTGTTCACAGTCATCTATTGTCAAGGATTGTTATTAATCATTCATTCAAACTTCATTTGCTTAATTCTAAACCTTATTGACGAGCTCCACTATGTGAATGTTCTTCTCTTTTTAGCACATTTTCTCATTTATGAAAAATGCACTATTGTGCTCGCCATGTCCGTCCGTCTGTCTGTTTGTCCGTCCGTGACCTCAAGTTGTCGTCGACGAGAAAATGCGCTCTCTGCCACTCACTGTAGTGAGTACTGAGTTATATTTTTTTCTGCTAGCTCTATTTGAGCAAACAATGAGTCACCAGCCTTAAGAATGTTTTGTTCTGAGCAGTAAAGGTGGGCCGTAAACACCCCGACCAAGTGGTGGAGACAGCCTCGATGTCATCAGTAGAGCCCCCTGATGTATGGTACGAGCTCGACATTCCTGCGGCCACCATCGACCAGTGCAAGCTGTCAGCGCTGCAGCTCGAGAGCATCGTGTACGCAGCACAGCAGCACTCGCACATGCTGCCTGATGGTACACGAGCAGGCTTCCTGGTAGGCGATGGTGCTGGTGTTGGCAAAGGCAGGACCATCGCTGGCATCATATTTGAAAACTTCCTTAAAGGCAGGAAGAAGGCGCTCTGGGTGTCTGTGTCTAATGATCTCAAGTACGACGCTGAGAGAGATCTCAAGGTGAGCGGCGCGGACGTTCAGCACATCATGTTATTGCTATTGTAGTGCTTAGCATGACGAGATATGCACTGTAAGTAACTTATTGTATTATAGTCTTGGTACGTAAGGCTGTTTTTTTCTGTTGCTATAAGGTAATGAATGCAATCAATTTTATTTATTAATATTTGCTGCCGATTTATTGAAATTTCATTCCAATTGTAATCATTCTGCCTTCAGGATATTGGTGTCACAAACATCCCAGTACATTTCCTGAGCAAAATGAAGTACGCGAAAATCAATTCAAGTGTCAACGGGAACATCAAGAAAGGCGTGATGTTCTCAACGTACTCCGCCCTCATCGGCGAGTCCTCGTCAGGGCAGGGCAAGTACAAGACACGCCTGAAGCAGCTGCTCAACTGGTGCGGCGACGACTTCGATGGATGTGTGAGTGACAACTTATATTATACTTAATAAGGCATTAGGTTAAGAGGCTTATTTGACTGGTGTGGTGACGACTTCGACAGATGCGTGAGTGACAACTTACTTATAAAAGCATTAAGTTAAGAGGCTACTTCGACTCGCGCGGCGAAGCCGGCGATAAATTTGACGGATGACAAATTACTCAATAAAGCATTAAGTACGGTAGCTTCTTCACCTTATATTCTTATTTTTTAAGCATGGAGTCAAGTGCTAATGGCTTCTTCTTTGATGTGACCATCTTCTTGCATCAGCTTGACGTAGCGGTATGTCTGCTCGTCATTCTAATGTCCAATGTAGTTTCAAGATTTATTATTAAAGTATTTCAAGTTGAAGGTTTAACTTTCCCCATAGTTAGGCTATTTAATATGCCCATTTAATGTTGAGGCAATCATCTATTCGAGAATTCTGTATCTGGCGGCGACACTAGAGAAATCATTTTTTAATGTCCTCCCTATGAATTAAGAGCTATTGTTGTGTTAGATGATCATCAAACTTCCTCTCTCTCTTGAATGACTCTGTTGCATTTACAGATAATATTTGACGAGTGTCACCGTGCGAAGAACCTGTTTTTGAATGACTCTGTTGTATTTGCAGATAATATTTGACGAGTGTCACCGGGCAAAGAACCTGTGTCCTGCTGGCTCAGCCAAGCCCACCAAGACAGGCCTGACGGTACTCGAGCTCCAGAACAAGCTGCCCAAGGCGCGCGTCGTGTACGCCTCGGCCACGGGTGCGTCAGAGCCCAAGAATATGGCGTACATGGTGCGTCTGGGCATCTGGGGGCTCGGCACTCCCTTCCCTGAGTTCAACGATTTTATTGCTGCTGTAGAAAAACGGTGAGTTGCATTATAGTGTTATACATGCACTGCTACATGTTCAGTAGCGTTATTACTGCTGTAGAAAAACGGTGAGTCGCATTATAGTGTTATACGTGCACTGCAACATGTTCAGTAGGTAGCGGTATTACTGCTGTAGAAAAACGGTGAGTCGCATTATAGGGTTTTACGTGCACTGCAACATGTTCAGTAGCGGTATTACTGCTGTAGAAAAACGGTTAGTTGCATTATAGTGTTATACGTGCACTGCAACATGTTCAGTAGGTAGCGGTATTACTGCTGTAGAAAAACGGTGAGTCGCATTATAGTGTTATACGTACACTGCAACATGTTCAGTAGCGGTATTACTGCTGTAGAAAAACGGTGAGTTGCATTGTAGTGTTATACGTGCACTGCGACATGTTCAGTAGCGTTATTACTGCTGTAGAAAAACGGTGAGTTGCATTGTAGTGTTATACGTGCGCTGCAACATGTTCAGTAGCATTATTACTGCTGTAGAAAAACGGTGAGTTGCATTGTAGTGTTATACGTGCGCTGCAACATGTTCAGTAGCATTATTGCTGCTGTAGAAAAACGGTGAGTCGAATTATAGTGTGAGTCGCATTATAGTGTTATACGTGCACTGCAACATGTTCAGTAGCGTTATTACTGCTGTAGAAAAACGGTGAGGTGTATTATATAGGGTTATACTTGCACCGCTACATTTTCAGTAGCGTTATTACTGCATTCCAGTAGCAATGAGCTGCTCAGTATATTTGTCGTGCATTGCAGTGTATATTCCACATACACATAGGCTGGTTTGGTGGCTCAGCTCGGAGCAGATTTTTTGGCGTTCTTTTGCGAATATTTGAGCTTAGTAGCATCCACTGGCAGCTTTGATAGCAGTCAAGTTCTGTACTACATTGCATGTAAATTTATACACAAAAAAAATGAAAGTTCTCTTAGATGAACAACGGATGTACATGAAACAAGCAACTTTGATAAACTATTCCCTGAACGTGAATACAAGTTTTGCTGACCTATCCCTTACCTGATGTGTACTGCAGGGGCGTGGGTGCTATGGAGATCGTGGCCATGGACATGAAGCTACGCGGCTCTTACATCGCCCGTCAGCTCAGCTTCAACGGAGTTACCTTTAGGATCGAAGAAGTCATGTTGGATGAAGATTTCAAGCGCATGTACGACGAGAGCGTCAAGCTGGTCAGTTCAAATCTAACTCAGATTTTGGACCAAAAATTTACAGTATTTTTCTACTCTTAAATCGTGACGTCATGCATGAATTTGACCTGAGGCTTTGTTACCTGAAATTCTGTTAATGCTTAGTTTGTGATATCTTCTTTGAGGTATTAGTTGATGGCCTGTGTAGATGACTTTGTATTGTCATGCATTAGCGTCGCATGATATACACATCTTCACGGGAGATAATTGTTTAGCTTGCACTTGCCTATCTAGTGCTAGCAAATGTTTAGAATTAACTTTAAGTTGTGCGTAACTTTATAAACCATTGTTTTTTTCGATCGTCTGTATAGCCGGAATTGGCATAAAGTACAAAAATCTAACATCTTTTCTTATTTTCATCAGTGGGTGGAAGCGCGTCAGATGTTCCAGGAAGCATCGGAGCTTGTGGACGCTGAGAAGGGCATGAAGAAAACTATGTGGGGGCAGTTCTGGTCGTCACATCAGCGCTTCTTCAAGTATCTCTGTATTGGTGCTAAGGTAAACTATGTTTAGTGAGCTTCATTGTAATGTTCCAGCCTTATCGTGTTGCGTGGCATCCTCGGGCATAAATTAGACGCTTTCTTAGGTTGCATTTAGTTGGATGAGAAATATTGTGTCCCTGATCTGTTATCGTATGTAGAGAAAAATATATTGAGTAGCAAAGCGTCTTTAAGACTGATAACGTTGGTACAGCGCTTCGTTAAGTGATTCCACGCCGCTTGGAAATGACGGGAGGAGTTAGGCGCTGAACAAACTTGAAATATAATTTGTCAATATTTGAATTGAGCGAGGCACCCTTGCGACGGACACCCTGCCACTTGCTTAGAATTGAGTGCGCCCAAAGTATTGTGAGGCGCACTTATTTAGAACTATTGATATGGCGTGTGCCTCTTGTTTATTATCATTGATGTGGCGTTGGCCTCTTGTTTATTACCGTTGATGTGACATTGGCCTCTTGTTCATTAGCGGTGATGTGACGTTGGCCTCTTGTTCACTAGCGGTGATGTGACGTTGGCCTCTTGTTCGTTAGCGGTGATGTGACGTTGGCCTCTTGTTCGTTAGCGGTGATGTGGCGTTGGCCTCTTGTTCATTTGCGTTGATGTGACGTTGGCCTCTTGTTTATTAGCGTTGATGTGGCGTGTGCCTCTTGTTTATTATCGTTGATGTGACGTTGGCCTCTTGCTGTCTCTTATACACATCTAGATGTGTATAAGAGACAGGTTTGGTGAGTACTGCCGCGGTCCGCTGATAGGGCCATTCAGCAGTTCGGTGAGTACTGCCGCGGTCCGCTGATAGGGCCATTCAGCAGTTCGGTGAGTACTGTCGCGGTCCGCTGATAGGGCCATTCAGCAGGTCGGTGAATACTGCCGTGGTCCGCTGATAGGGCCATTCAGCAGTTTGGTGAGTCCTGCCGTGATCCGCTGATAGGGCCATTCAGCAGTTCGGAGAGTGCTGCCGCGGCCCAAGATAGGGCCATTCAGCAGTTCGGTGAGTACTGCCGCGGCCCACGATAGGGCCATTCAGCAGGTCGGTGAGTACTGCCGCGGTCCGCTGATAGGGCCATTCAGCAGTTCGGTGAGTACTGCTATTATCGTTGATGTGACGTTGGCCTCTTGTTTATTAGCGTTGATGTGGCGTGTGCCTCTTGTTTATTATCGTTGATGTGACGTTGGCCTCTTGTTCATTAGCGTTGATGAAGCGTTGGCCTCTTGTTCATTACCGTTGATGTGACAACAGGTGGAGCACACGGTCCGGCTGGCGCGCGACGCTTGCCTGTCTAACCGCTGCGTGGTGATCGGTCTGCAGTCGACGGGAGAGGCGCGCACGCTGGAGCAGCTCGAGAAGGACGACGGCGAGCTCTCGGACTTCGTATCCACCGCCAAAGGTGAAGTTCTGCCTTGGTTCTGAAACTTTCCCTGAATGCCCCTTCCCTGGGGCAATTTTCAATAACTTTTCTTTAATGTTAAGCTATTGGATATTTGCACTTATTTCCTGTTAGTCGAGTGTTGTGCTTATATAGCAGGTTTAAAATTGCGTATATAGCACCACTACGTCTACTAGAATTTGTGTTCTTAATGTTGTGATATGGTAACAATACCCTCTTGTGTACAGGAGTGCTGGAGTGTCTGGTGGAGAAACATTTCCCGTGCCCTGACCGCATGCGTATGAGCCGCATGCTGGGGTTGCCTGAGAACAGCAAGGAGCTCAAGGATATTATGGACGAGTCCTGTAGGAAGGCTCGCCAGGCATCGCCGCCCCCAAGCCTCCAACACGACGATAAGTTCTCGCCATCGCCGGGCAGAGCTAAGAGAAAACCAGGTGTGCTTATAGGGCCTTAGCTTATTATTTGCAGCTGCTTAAGATCCATGGAAAATCATGTGTGCTTATTGGGCCTTACGTTATTATTTACAGCTGCTTAAGATTGTGTTATAGCATGGTTGATATAGCGTTAATGACGCTGCGTTTAGCGCTAATAGTGCCGTGTTATAGCATGGTTGACATGTCGCTAGTGACGCTGTGTTTAGCGCTAATATTGCTGTGTTATAGCCTGGTTTATATAGCGCTAATATTGCCGTGTTGTAGCATTGTTTATATAGCGTTAATTATGCTGTGTTTAGCGCTAATAGTGCCGTGTTATAGCATGGTTTATATAGCGCTAATGATGCTGTGTTTAGCGCTAATATTGCCGTGTTATAGCATGGTTTATATGGCGTTAATTATGCTGTGTTTAGCGCTAAGAGTGCCGTGTTGTAGCATGGTTGACATGTCGCTAATGATGCTGTGCTTAACGCTAATAGTGCCGTGTTGTAGCATGGTTTATATAGCGTTAATGATGCTGTGTTTAGCGCTAATGGTGCCGTGTTGTAGCATGGTTGACATGTCGCTAATGATGCTGTGTTTAGCGCTAAGAGTGCCGTGTTGTAGCATGGTTTATAAAGCTTTAATTATGCTGTGTTTAGAGCTAATATTGCTGTGTTATAGCATGGTTTATATAGCGTTAATTATGCTTTGTTTAACGCTAATATTGCTGTGTTTGCGACAGTGCGTCAAGCGGCCCAGAGAGCCAAGCGCCGCTACAAGGAAGCCGTCGCCGGCCATGACTCTGACGACTCTGACTTCGAGGTCTCAGGTGAGCGGCAACTCATTCTTCTCGTCGACATTTTTATTTCAGCTGAGTGAAATGTTTCATATTCTGAATTATCCGATTAACTTAACTATTACAGTCGATAGCTGCATTGCTGAGAAGCTACATATGGCGGACTCTAAAGTTCCCGGTATTCAGGGATAAAATGACAGATTGTTGTGGGTAGTGAGCTTATGATTAAAAGGTTAGTACAGAAGTGCCTCAGCTATACGTTTCATATTGCTTCTGTTGTTTCTAATCTATTGAGACCTTCCGCCTCGCTGGCGATTTTATAACTTGATAGCTGAACCATTGTACTACTATACTCATAATCTAATAAATTTTTACTATAGAGTCAATCGGTATTAGATGACGACTGATAATAATCGAGATTGTGGATATTCAAAGAGTTGTTGTCTAACCTAATTTTCCTATCATTTTGCCTCACCTGTTGAACTCTTGATTTTAATAATGCCACTAGAGCAGCCATGATGACCATGCCTCTAGCCATCATGCCTCATCGCGTAGTTGGTTTCGTTCTCGCGGTTTTCATATACTCGCATATATCCTGGCCTTCTGTAGTTGTATACCATACTCGTATATACTCGTGTAGTTGTATATCATACTCGTATATACTCGTGTAGTTGTATACCATACTCGTATATACTCGTGTAGTTGTATACCATACTCGTATATACTCGTGTAGTTGTATACCATACTCGTATATACTCGTGTAGTTGTATACCATACTCGTATATACTCGTGTAGTTGTATACCATACTCGTATATACTCGTGTAGTTGTATACCATACTCGTATATACTCGTGTAGNAGCAATACCAGTAGTTACCAGCTACCACCAGAGGCCACAGCAAGCAATACCAGTAGTTACCAGCTACCACCAGAGGCCACAGCAAGCAATACCAGTAGTTACCAGCTACCACTAAAGGCCACAGCAAGCAATACCAGTAGTTACCAGCTACCACTAAAGGCCACAGCAAGCAGCAGTCAGATCAGCTTGCAGCGCACTAGTAACCTCGCGTCCACAGACGACTTGTGTCTAAAGGCCAATAAACCGGCTTAGTTAGGCATGCCAGTAAATAGTAGTAAATAAACTTAGATAACTATTAAACTGGAAATGAAGTATAATGAAGAGTAGAATGAATAATTTTCTATAGTTTACAAGGAAAGTTTAGGAAGGCATCCTGAGTTGTGGTGTAGCCTGACGAGATTGTGTGGTTTGCTTCAGGGTCGTCGAGCGTCGAGGAGGAAGAAGACGACTTCTCGTCCAACGTGTCGTCAGACTTCACTGCAGACAGCGACATGGACGATGAAGGTGCGAGCATGCAACACTCAACATAATACACTATTAACTATGTTAAGACTTATCTCCAACACATTCCATGTAGGCAAGTAGTTCTGTTCTCGTCCTAGTCCTCTATCCGTGTGAGTCTTGCATAGCAAAAATTTTTACCTTTGATTATAACTAAAGGGCTTCCTATTGCTAAATACTAGGCATTTCTGAATACCCCAAGAGACAATCTTAGTTTCATAATGCTCGTGCCATAAGTGTTGAATGAAGCGGTGATGTGACCTTATGCCTTGGCTCGACTGATGCTCACTTCTTGTTGCCGATGAACTTTCTGAGTGATTTCAAACTCCTTTTGCAAGGTTCAAATATGAAATAAAAATTGATTGAGATTTACAAATATTCTCGCTCCACTCGTGATTTCATCGCATCACCTTTCTGTGAATGCCATTACTTGATTATGAGAGGAAACACTAGCACCACAGCAACGTAAGCGTGCATTACAAGAGTTGTATTGTTTCCTCGGCTCTTTAGCTTCATCTTAGTTTTGAGTTGAAGAGGCTTCGTAACATGGATTACTGCCGCCCTCTGTTCTGGCGTGTTCAAAACCAGACAATGGCGGGCGAGTCAAGCTTCGTCATCTGTTTTGGAAGTACACATCAATACTTAAATCTAAAATGCAGCTTTAAAAAATAAGCTGAGTGATCATATTTCAGTAACCGTCAGTACAGTTTTTTATACGCTTTACAAATAACTTAACATGACCAAGTATCAAAGCAGTAAAAACGGATGATGTGAAATCATTTTTGTACACCCATTCAGATGTGTGGGAAGCGCCCAAGAAGCGTGGTCGTCCACCTAAACCTAAAGTCAAGAACGGTCGCCCGCCCCGAGAAAACGGCATCAAGAAGCCTCCTCTGCCTCAGGTGCGTTGAGACGCTCTGTTGCTAACAGCCCTTTCTCCTGTCTTGCCCCGGGAAAATGACCTGCAGTGTTCCATATTAAACAAATTACCCTAAAATAAAGTAAATGTAACTAGGCTCGAATGAATAGAAAATGAATCATTCCCATGGTGGAGCTTCCGCGTATACAAGTCATCACAGTCGCAGAGATTTTCCCCTAGTTTATATTGAACTATGGCTCAATTTTTTGTTGCAGGCGATAGTGGATAAAGTGATGGCAATGCGGACGGATTTGTTGTCGAAGATAACAGACCTGGGCCGTAGGCTTCCTCCTAACACGCTGGACCAGCTTATCGACGAACTGGGCGGACCAGAGAAGGTAAGGGACCTGCACTCTTCATCTGCGCCGAATGCCAGCTTGATTAACGTGCACGCGTCTGTATTGCAACAGGTCCCAGTTGGGAACATGATGTACTTGTCATCTATTTTGCCGAAGGGTGAGAATCATTGTCGGTTATCGTGGTGGCATTTGTGCAACAATTTACCTCTTGTTTACTCTGCTTTCTCATGAAGACGTTGAAGATTGTGTAGGGCGTCAAATAGCTTACGTAACACACAAGTTTCATGTGAATCCTGCCATCCAGTACCTACTGCTCTTTTGGCCCGGCAGATGGCAGAGACAACAGAGCGCAAGGCTTGCATTGAAGCGTGTCACTCTCTCGTTTGCCCGACAGGTGGCAGAGACGACGGAGCGCTAGGCTTACATTGAAGCGTGTCACTCTCTCGTTTGCCCGACAGGTGGCAGAGACTATTCACTCGTTTGCCCGACAGGTGGCAGAGACAGCAGAGCGCAAGGCTTGCATTGAAGCGTGTCATTCACTCGTTTGCCCGACAGGTGGCAGAGATGACGGGTCGCAAGGGGCGAGTCGTGCAGACAGACGGCAACGTAGTGTATGAAAGTCGCTCCGAGCAAGACGTGCCCCTCGAAATTCTCAATATTAAAGGTGCGTTCCAAAGTGGATGTTCGCTCGTTATTATTTTGCCTAATATCTATCTTTCGTCCTAAATTTTTTTGCATGCGTTTGTAATTGTCTCATTCAAACGGCTTGGCACCATATATCATTTGTTTACTGACAGTCCTTCACCATACAAGGTCTCTAACTTTGAATTGTGTTACAGAAAAATATTAATGTATTCTTTAAGAAAAGGTTAACAACTGCTAAGTTAATTATTTCTGCATAGATTTAAACATACCTAGGCGTAAGTGGATTCATGTTAGAGTTGGCATCGTTTCAGGAAGGTTGCTCTTTAGCGCCACCACTCGTGCCAAATGTGCGCTCTAGCATGCGGTGGGGAATTTTTAATTCGTGGACTTTGTTTGGAATTTACAATGTATAAATTTGATCTTATGCTGATCAGGAATTCATTTAGTTATTCAAATATGAAATATCATTGCCAAAATTTCACGATCACTTGGATTTGCGATCTAAAATCACAGGTTTTCAAAATCTTTTGAGCTTTGACCTTATGTGGCCACCCCAAACACATCAAAATGAACTGGTAGTTTCGTATTTCTTTATCAGTAGAAGCAATAGTGCCTAAATGTATTTATTCTTTTTTAGCTCTTAACTCGCTACTCATTCTATTTGTATTTTCTTCCCACAGAAAAAGAACGATTCATGAATGGCGAGAAGTTAATAGCAATTATATCAGAGGCGGCGAGCTCCGGAATCTCACTGCAGAGCGATCGACGCGTCAAGAACCAAAGGAGAAGAGTGCATATCACGCTAGAGCTGCCGTGGTCCGCTGATAGGGCCATTCAACAGTTCGGTGAGTACTGCCGCTGCCCATGATAGGGCCTTTCAGCAGTTCGGTGAGTGCTGCCGTGGTCCGCTGATAGGGCCATTCAGCAGTTCGGTGCGTACTGCCGCGGTCCGCTGATAGGGCCATTCAGCAGGTCGGTGAGTACTGCCGTGGTCCGCTGATAGGGCCATTCAGCAGTTCGGTGAGTACTGCCGCGGTCCGCTGATAGGGCCATTCAGCAGGTCGGTGAGTACTGCCGCGGTCCGCTGATAGGGCCATTCAGCAGTTCGGTGAGTACTGCTGCGGCCCACGATAGGGCCATTCAGCAGTTCGGTGAGTACTGCCGCGCCATTGACTTCAGCCATTCAGAAGAAAAGTGCATTTCTCTCGTCTAAAGGTCGTGATAATTTGCAATTTGGCGCTTTGTTTGCTCATATTTATACAATTTTAAGTGCGTCATTATTGCTCAGACAAATTGCGTTTTGAGCTAATAAAGGTAGAGGCTAGGTGGAAGCATTGCATTTACCTTGTTATTTCCCAAGCCGACCATAAAGGATTTATAGGTTGTTTTTTCGAACAAACGAATTGCCTCAAAATGATTTGTTCATTGGTTTGAAGAAAGGAAGCCGCGAGCTGGATTTAGTGTTGAATTTCAGTGATATTTTTAGAATCCGATTAATTTTCAAATATATATAGGCAAGCAGTTTTCATTTTCTGTTTGAGAAGATTGTTATTAATTGTTACTGCTTGCAGGTCGGACGCATCGCAGTAATCAAGTGAACGGCCCTGAGTACGTGTTTCTTATCTCGGAGCTGGCAGGCGAGCGGCGCTTCGCATCCATCGTTGCCAAGAGGCTCGAAAGTCTCGTGAGTCTCGTGGCTTGGGTCCAGTCTGAACTTATTTCATGGCCTTGAACTATGGACCTGAAATCGGTCACGACTTTCTGTTAAGCAAGAAAACCTGCTCCTATTGTTCTTGTGTTGTCGTTTGTTTTATCGTGAGAGGTTCAGACACGTCGATAGGGCGGCTCAGGAGGCTGGCAGTGAGGGGCAACCGCAAGAGGAGGGAAGTGGGCAAATGACAGGAGGGACGCCAGGAAGGCGTCCCTCCGAGTATGGGAGGGACGCAGGAAGGCCTCTTAAGGATGATACGAGTATGTCCGTGGGAAAAGACTGGCAGGAGAAGAGGAGCTTCGTTGAGTGGAGGGTGTCTCCACACCAAGGACAAGCCGCACTTGGGGAGCATCCCATTCTAAACGTGTAGGAAGCGAGATGACTGCAAAAGCCAGTCCTAAGCTGAACCAGCGCGGAGCAGTAGGGGTGAGCTAGGCTTCCTTGGGGCAATGGAGGGAGGTGGGGCGGCCAGGACCCTGCTTTCCTCGGCTATTGCTGCGATATGAGAAGTGATTGTCCGGCGAAGGGCTTGTCTTGCTTCGCCATAGGAGCAGGCAGGTAGGCAGTCGTCTACCAGTAAGGGGCCACGAGGTGACCGTAACGGGACTGTAAGGTTGCCTTCATGGGCCTTTCCCTAGGAGGGGCGGAAACATCGGGGAAAAAAGGGTGTTGGGTTTGGTGTGCGCTTGCCAAGAACTGCGAGCAAGCGAGGTCCCGGTGGGCGGCTATGGGAAGGACTCCTATTTCGGTGTAAAGGTGGTCATTGCGGTCTTCTTCAGGCAGCCGGTGGCGAGCCTCAAGACAGAGTTCTGCACGAACTGCAGGCTCGGAATTGCTGAGAGGGAGGCTAGAAGAGACCAAATTTGAGCGGCATAGTTAAGGATTGGTCGGGTAATGGATTTGTAGGTGGCCGTGATGAGATCCTTAGTGAAGCCCCAGCTCCTGCCGGCTATGGCCTTCAGGATGCGTAGAGTGCTGGTTGCTTTGGAGGCGATTTCTTTGACATGGGAAAGAATGTGAAGTGGGTATCCCAAGTGCTCCTAGGATTTTTGGCGACTTGTCGAGTGGGATTCGTCTGTTGCCGATGAAGGCGGCAGGGTAGGCTCTGGATTGATGAGTGTCGAGTGTGAAGAGTGACGGGACTTTTCCGGAGCTTGTGCCAGTCTTTTGGCGGCAAACCAGTCCGAGACGCCCGACAATTGGCACCGCCAGGTCCGCCTCAGGATGTCCAATCTCGATGAAAAAAAAAAAAAAATATGGTGAGATCATCGGCGTAGGAGGCAATGTTAGAGGGTGGAACTGGGCAGTCGGATATATTGTATTTAATGAGTTCCATGGAAACGACGGAAGACGGATCATTGAGGAATTCCCATATGTATGCTTCTGTAAAGAGATTGGGATGTAATTTAGAGACAGGATGCTACTCTGCCTCTCAGGTAGGAACAAAGCCAGCGGACCACCAGGTTGTGGTGGAGGGTGGATGCAGCGATCATGGATACAAGAAGTGAGTGGTCGACACTGTCGAAGGCTTTCGACTAGTCGATGGCAGATGCTGCGGTGCAGGCGGAGGGGCGCCTAGAGTTAAAGCCGGTTGCGATTTGTTGTGAGAAAGGAAGGAGAGCAGTGAATCGCGACCTCTTGGACGGTCGCGACGCTCATTAGCGTAGCCACCGAAGTCGGGGAGGCGAGAACTGGCAGTCGATTTTAACTTCTGGAGGCAGGCAGCAGCCAACTAAAGCAGGACGCAACTAAAATTTGTGATGTTGACGTGTTCAGAGGCAACTAGCTGGTGCATTGCACGCAGAGCAACACGAGTTGTTTTGAAGCAGTCGCGTGTGCCCAGTACCGCCTCGGCCGTCTTAGCGTGCATACCTGCGTCGCCCTCTCTCTTGCCCACTGTAGCGTGCTCAGCTTTACAGCTCTCGCTTGCCTCCACCGTGCACACACCTTACTCGACAACTCCCAACGCCGCACTGGCGCCGGCGCAGTGTACTGAAAACACTCTCCTTGTGTATAGGCTCTCAGCTGCAAAACTGTAGTCGACTCAACTAATCGACGCAACTATTCACCCCGTGTATAAGCACCTTTGGGCCTGAACACCTGTTGTGGGTCCAGGTCGCGTATCGGGAGCATAAGACGGAGTATCCCCTCCATGTGACCGGCGACTGGCAAAACTTTGCGGAGGAAGGGTCCAGGGTTTGAGTGAATCTCCAGGACGATGACGAGTAGGCCGTAGAGAAAGAGGCCGTGGGAAGTCGAAAGGGTAAAGGTCTTCTTGAAGGAAAGGGGCATCGGCCAGGTTAAAGGGGCTGAGGTGGGAAGAGGTCGAGGTTTTCCAAACCCCGAGTCAAAAGTGAACACGCCCTTTGGTACCCGAGGTATCGTCGGGGAGGTCTCTGCTGTTTGGACCGACCACGGTCCGCCGAGCCAGCCGGCGACGCAGTTGGGGTACCCTCACGACGAAGACGCAGCAGAGTTCGGCGGGCTGGTCTTCTGTTAGCCCTCAGGATTTCACAAGTGTGGGACTCGACCCACTAGCGAAGATGAGGGATCAAACGTGGGCCGAAGATGCTTAAATTCAATTTGTTGATAGTTCATGCGTAAAACTAGCACATTTAGAAAAAAATTCATCTATCTGTTGTTGCCATGCTTGTGACAGAAATTCGTAGTATGAAGACTCTGGCGAGCGTTTCCAGCACTACAAGTATAGAAACTTCCTCGAATTCTGCTTCGTGAAGGCTTGGTGATACCGACTATTGAACTTTTTTGTTCGGTGCAGCATAGATGGATTTGTCTGCCCTTGTTCGTGAACATCCCAAATGATGTGAATACCATCATCACCTAATCTTGTGCGCAATCTGTTGAGTTGCGTAAGGAAGACTTCGTGCTCGTTTCTCCAACTTTCTAAATTATTGATAGACGTAATGTAGTGGTTATTAATCTTATATTTTTGAGCCCCATGACGTTGAATCACTTGAGTTTTTTTTATTCAAATTGTGCTTTGTTTTTTCTTTCGGTAACTTGTGATGTGTTCACGTAAAAGAATGAACATATAAAAACGCTACTCGTTATTAAAAGACTCTCACATTAAAGAATTCTTGCTGTGGACACATTTTGACCGTGGTGGGCACAACTTCTGTCCCTCATTTCTACTCTACTCATTTCTTATCTCATATCATTGCTACAGGGCGCCCTCACACACGGTGACCGGCGAGCGACGGAGACGCGCGACTTATCTAGTTTCAATATAGACAATAAATACGGACGTCTCGCCCTCGAGTCTACCATGAAGACCATGATGGGCTACGAGCATCCCATCGTCCCTCCCCCTGACGACTATGATGGTGATTTCTTCTCGGACCTTCAGAACGCGCTCGTTGGGGTCGGCACCATCCTTAAAGAGGATAACGTCTACCAGCTCGATAAAGACTACAATAATATGAGCAAATTCCTTAACAGGTTCGTACTGCATCATGTCTCAGGTGGGACTATAGGAACCTCCTTTCCTAGAATTTCACTGGTTCGAATATTTTCCAATTTTCAGGAGTAAGATATTAAAACTAGTGATGCTTGGGCGATCTTTCAGAATCACGCCATAATGATGACTCATCAATAATGCTCTGAAGTGAATAAAAGTTTACTTCATGTGTTATCAAGCAAATAACTGATCCCTTGATGTGCCCTCTAGCAAATGAAGGTACGAATGAATGCTGGTTCTTTTGTGGGAATTCTGCTATAGCTATGAAGAAATTTCTATGAGAAATGGCTTGACCAGCCTCGACTAACTTCTGATCTAAACATGCAAACGTTGCTTTGACAGGAATATGTATTCTAGTGAATTTATTTCTGCACTTGTATAAATTAATTTATTCTACTCTCATGGAATTAACAGGATATTGGGCATGCCAGTGGATTTGCAAAACCGCCTATTCAAATACTTCACGGACACTCTGGCCGCCATCGTCACGCAGGCCAAAAAGACCGGCAAATATGACATGGGCATCATGGGTGAGAGGAAATTGTAGGGTCTTGTATTGCATGTCAGTAACACTTAGCAGCATCCCTCGTAGTATTTCCTTCCGAGTCTTATGCTCATTTTTATCGAGCCTCAGCAATGAGATCTTCGCTGCAGGCTTTGACTGCTGCAGCCAGACCACGTATGAATCAAATGTCGTGCCTGAGTCAAGCGTCTCGGACGCTTTAAGAGTGTCTGCGGTTTCGGTTGCTTTGCGTCAAATTGCAAACAAGGTTTGCATCTTGTGTTTGGATCAAGTCTGCAAACATCTTGTGTTTGGATCAAGTCTGCAAACATCTTGTGTTTGGATCAAGTCTGCAAAGTCTATCAAGTTTGGAAACTTGTGGATCAGCGTGGATTGACTATCCACACTGGTGAAATATCAGTGGAGTTATATTCATTCTCTTGCAAATAATGACTCTTTTCTGATGTGGTGTGCGATGTTGTTCGTACAACAAAAAAATAAACCCAAACGTTTGTTTTATTTTACTTTATGGCCTCAGTTATGTGCCGACATGAATCGCTAATTAGTATGATTTAATTTTATTACCAGACCTGGGGATGAGTGGTGAAGGGTGCAAGAGAACCAAGACACGCACGTGGGTGGGTAAGCACAGCACAGGCACTGCCAAGACGGACCTGCACACGGTGCTGGTCGAGCGCGGACTTAGCTGGGAGCAGGCGATGGAAAAGTTCGAGCAACTCTCAGGCGATCTCGAGGGCTTCTATGTATCGCATCAGGTGAGCAAGCTTTGCACTTTGCTTGAAATGGAGCGACGTGGAGTGTAATGGCAAGTGCCGTGGAATTCTCTGCAGTTAGCTTTCTTGTCAGGCATGTTTTACGGTTAGCAAAAATTCTTCCTTTTAGAAGACTCAGTTTATCTAGACTGAAATAGTGCTACGTGATCACTGTTGTTACAACGTTAATAGACGTCTTCATTCATATACTCATTGACATTTTTCTGTGATCCTAGGTGCGAAACAACAAGAAGACCGCTGTCCTGGCGGTATGCGAGACTGAAGACAAGAATACAGAGAAGAAGGACAAAAACAGTCGCCTGTTCGTCCTGTACCGTCCCAATACTGGCCTGCAAATGAAGCAGGAGCCGTACTCCGATCTCAAGAAGAAATACAAGAAGGTCAAGGCTGAAGACGCCAAAGAACACTGGGAAGGCCAGTTCAACAGCTCAAGTCACACCTGCTCTCATGCTTACTGGTTCGTCTCATTTAGAATCATTTGTGTTATTGGTTCAAATAATTTCATATCGATTTAAGTATAACAATCATTCTGAATAAGAATTCGGAACAAATGTAACATATGTTTTTCTTGTTGGCAGGCAAGGGAACTGTCGTCGCGTTAGTAACGGACTGGACTGCGAGATCGGCCTGCGGCGGCGGACGTATCACGTGTTGTGCGGTTCAGTGCTGAACGTGTGGAGCAGAGTGGAGGAGGTGCTCTCAAGTGGCTCTGCCAACCACCACCAAACTTCCAAGATGCAGGTCCTCAGACTTAAGACCGTGTCTGGCCTCAAGCTTGTCGGTGAGTCTTAAACTTCAGGAGGTTACAACAAACTTGAGTCTAGGATGCCTATGAATCTATGAAATTTAAGTATGTGATTTGTCGACTCATTCATAAATTAGCTTTTTATTAATGGCGGAGAACTTTAAATATTTGTCTTAGGTAGAAGTAATGAGGAAATTGTTATTCATGAATATCAGTTATTTTCAAATTTTTTTTTATTTTCAAAGGCTATGACTTTAATAATTGACCTGTGTGACGTTAAATATGACCTGTGTGACCTTGATAATTGGAATTGATTGCAAATTAACTTGAATCAATAAATTTGTTATGATCAAGTGCATGTGATTTTATTTAGGGTTACGATTTGACTTCTTGGTCCTCATCCAAACCCATATTTTAATTTTTGACTTTTTTCCCTCGTGTTGATTTAGATTTTAGGGCTTCAGCCATTTGTGTTTCCATTTCGTACTGCACAGAGCACGTTAATGAATTGTAAACAGTTTTACTGTTATCCTCATTTGCTTCAGGGAATGGTTTACGTTGAGTAAGGTAAATATATATGTGCTTTAGTGCTGGATTTTATTATATACATGCATTTGTTGCAGGTACGTTAATACCAAATAATTTGGTCGAGAGACTGGCGTCAATTCTGGACGAATATTGTACGGACTATCAAGAAGAGGAGTTCCAGGAGGAGGAGGAGAGCGAGAAAGACGGTGAAGAGGAGACGGAGCAAAAAGAAGCGCAAATAAAGGAGGAAGAAGGTGACGAAGACGACGAAAATGAGAAGAAAAAAATAGAATTAAAGGAGGAAGGAATTCTCGAAGATGTTGACGATGAGGGAGTTTTGTCTGACGATGCAACGAATATGAAGAATGTTCCCATAAAAGAAGAGAAGAAAAGTTTCGTTGTTAAGATTGAAAAATCTGCGCAAGTGGAGAAGAGTGAGAATGGTGTGAAAGAAGAAAAGGTGAAGGATGTTAAAAAAGTCGCTAAAATTCGGATTAAAAATCAGCAAATCATTTGTGACGACAGTGAGTCTGCAAAAGAGAAGTAGAAACACGTTTTATTTTGGCATTTCCTTTAGCGAGGAAACTTGTTGGAGAGTTGATTAAACGAATCGATGTCGAGGAGAAACTCTAAGAGAGTTGTGAAGAAACCAAAGTTATTGATCAGTTATGGGTGCATTTAATGTATCATTATGTTAGAACAGCTTTAATCTTCTTTTAAGTAGCTATTTATTAAAAATTGATTTTTTTAAGTTGAACTTTGTTCTGTATTTTTCTGTCATGTTCATTTCTCTTGTTAGCTTAAAAGTATTCGAAGTATATTTTACCATGCATTAATACTGCTGGTTTTATTGTTGTAATAATGCGGTTTCCGTTTTTACGGCCTTTGGAAGCTTCAATACTCCATTTCTAATTGTAGCTCTGCAAAAAATGCATGAAGTAATATTTGTTCTTTGATTATATTTTGTGTTGGATATTTATTTGATTGAAGTCTTTATGAATGACTGTGTCGCCCTGTGCTCATCCAAATTTAGCTACTGTATCCACATAATATGTATAGGTGTAATATATCCTTAGAATTCTAGCAGTGAGCACACTGTGCTGTCACAAGTGAAGTGAGTTCTTAATAAACTTTATTGTCAGGGTAAGAATTATTCTCAGTAGCACTCTACATTTTATACGCATTCTGATGGGCTTGTGTAGGATGACGTTTGGTGATGACAAGAACCTCGAGCATGTTGGCTGCTTCTTCGAGCATGTTGGCTGATATGCCTCGACAAACTCGAAGTCAAGAGATCCAATTTTGTTGTAAGATAGAAATGTTCTGTATTGCTGTAGTGTGTTGAGGTGAGACTGTTACAAAAATCATTGCTCCTTTGACTTGAGTTCAGAAGCCTCGTCAAAAGTTGTACCTAATAAGGTTTTGAAATTATATGCGGAATATTTTACCTTGGCGTGGGCTTCCTCAAGAACGTTAAATTTATTTTTGTTTCGTATGGCTGCTATATTAATATATTATTGGAAGTTTCCTTCAATGGCTTGCTGTCATGGTAAATGTGAGTCTCTTCACGTAATCATGCTTTAGTAATATAATTAATGCTTCCTTAGTTCCTTGAAGTAGCCACCAAAACAATTACTGAAACATTAAGCATAGGCTCATATTGACCACCATGACAAAGCTAAAGTATGTTAATTTCTCGTGCTGCGAGCTGTTGATAAGCTTCGGGTAATAGGAACTTGTAGTGTCTTGTATGCGTAGACGGTACGTGCATTAGTTCCTAAGTGACCATATCTTGTATACCATTCGTAGAATTTGCGTTCTACCGTACTAGCTGTCTCGTTGTAATAATTGTAGAGTATCTTGGTAGAGAGCAAGTGTTTGTGGTCCTTCGCTTCTTTTGCTTAGCACTAGTTTCAAAACCACGTTTATTTTAGCTCATGGGCTACATCGGTGTCTTATGCAGGAATCTCGTTTGTAAGCCACGTTGTTGTTTCGCATCGGTTGTTTTTTACTCATTGAATTGTAGCAGCGTAGTTTTTTTTTCTGTGGTGCACAAAGTTTGAGGAAACGGACAACGTATCAATTGTTAGTCTGTGTCACTTTACGCATGAATTATCGATACATTTTCTTTAGATTTTCCAGATTCCTACAATGACATGAAGTTCCTTGCATTTCTTTCAAAGGTTTTTTCTTAATCTCTCTATTATTGTTGTATAGTTAAACATTGTATTAAAAGGCCCGCGAGTTTTCTGGCAGATCTAATCAATAATTATTATTTGATTCACTTGACGCTGAATGTAAGACTGGCTATATCTCAGTTGCTAATGACTATGAGTCACATACTTGGAGTGTCACATTTTAAAAATAACATCGTGGCCTCTTAAAAGAAATTGAAAGAATGGTTCACCTTACTTTATTTTGAGCTATGAGCACACCATTGTCTTGAAGTTAATATATTTTAAACATAATGCGATTGCTCCCATGATCTTGTCTCCTTGACATTTTATTGCGTACGGTTTTGGGCTACGATTCTTGTTAACCTTGTAATTATAAAACCATTTTGCTGTATATTTTTCTGTGATAATTTCATTTACGCTGTCGTGATCACGCGCTCTACTTATTTATCACCGGTCATCCCAGTTTCATTTTAGTACATTTTTCTTGCGTTCTGTTTTAAAGTCATGAATTGTTTTTAGTAGGTTTTGTATTACGCCTTTCCCTAGCGTGACCTGACATCACCGCGCATCATCATCATATTCACCTACTGACATTTCTTAGGACGAAGCGTTTTCACTTATCCTTCATCATCGTGTCAACAAATCATACTCTACGTACGACGGGAACCCATTAGATGGAAATTGGGATTTGTAAAATAGTTCAACATAAGTGTCTAACTTATACTGTGTTTCTTTTCCCATTGTCCTTAGAGAGAAACTGATTGACATTTATGTAACATTATACATTGTTCGAACCTGATTTGCTACTTTGAAAGAGGGAACAATCTTATTTGCTGCAGAGGAACTTTGATAAGGAAGAAATATGCACGATACTTAGAAAGAAGATTATGCTTCAGAATGCTTGCGTTTTTTGCTGATCCGGAGGATTGTTGGATACGAAGTGCGTTGCACTTCGTATATCGACCCAAGATGATATGTCAGAGAGGGAGCGGCGGCATTTAATGTTATGGAGAGAGGGCGCGGGCGGCATTTAAATTACGCAAAAAGATGAAGATTAAATCGCATGGTTACGTATGAAAGTCCAGATGGCGTCTGTAGCTTCGACAGATGTGATCACAGGAAAACTGCAGGAATGACAAACAGTGCAAAACGGCGACGTAATTCGCAAACGATGCTTGCTTTTTCAGCAAGCCTGTTATCTTTTTATAAGGTCAGTCACTACAGCGGATACGTCTTCTGTGCGTTCTAGTAAGAACTAAATTAGTACCGCAATTTTATGATAATAAAAAATTGCTCTCCATATGGTAACATGACTGACGTCAATATATTGAATATATATGTAGGTAGCCTATAATTATCACTGAAGCGTAAACAAGATTTATTGTTTATTCAACTAATGCATGTTATCAGAATGTGAGTTTTATTTAACAAAATAACAGTTGAATTACTTTGTAAAGCAAATGTCTTAAGTTCGCTCAGCCTCATCACTGCCTCATGACGTGACGTTCAGCTCTCCTGTCTACAATCTGCATGAGTCACTGTCTCAAACTTGATTGAACATCCTGATTCCTGGAGGGCTGGAGCTACATGGACAAGTCTTCGAAGCTCCAATAATCAGCAATCACCAATCCTGATTCCTTGTGTCCCCACTCTACAATTGTTTGTTACAAACACTGTGCTTGTTGGATATCGCGTTACGTATCAGTTATTTTACATAGTCACTACGACACTACGGTCACTACCTACTATATATCTAAATTAGACTCAATAATTGTTATTAGACTCAATATTTGTTATAAAGTATAAATCCTTTCAATAGGTCTATTTGGGCATTAGAAAAAGCGATTGATAATTTCTATTATTTTGTATTTACTAATTACTATGCTGACGCTCTTACATTTCATTATTGATAGAAAGCAAAAATAATACAAACTAATTTAATGAGAGAAGAACATTTACTAGCTAAGACAACACAATGTGACAATGAATTAGGTATAAACAAAGCCTATGGCTGTGGGCTGTGGCATAATGGCTTAGTGGCTATGTTCTTGTTCTAATCTAAACTTCTATGTAGACCCTAGAGGCCTCAGGCCTAGACAGTAGACAGGCTAGAGCGCTAGACTAGAGGTAGAGGATAATATTTTGAAATGGCTAATTCTTGGTGCTGGGTTCAGACGTTCAGTTGTCAACTTGTCAGTGGCTGCAGCCTACTGAAGCCTGCAGGCCAATTCTAGTATGGAATATATCTACTTGGCGAGCCACGATTGAATTTTTGGTATTATTGCAGATTAACTACATCCAAAAAAAAGGGTGTTTTTTTTTTTTAATTATATGTTTTTTGGGGTGTAGATTACGAATCTGAAATCCATTTTTGGCGGTCGGCATCGGAAAACCGATTTTTTTCGCGACTTACTAACATGGGGGTTACGTAACTTACGTTACCCACTCACCTTTATTGTTTATGTTTTTTCTGCAAGATATTTTTGGCGGAAACGGTAAACGGGTAAAGCAATGCGGATTGCGGAAGTTGAAAATTTTATGAAATGACATGTTTGCGAAGTGCAAACCGCGATTTTTTAATCAAACAAAAATTTATGACATTCGAGCCGCGAGATTTCATACCTACTAAAATTATATGATATTAGAGCCGCGATATTTCAGACAAAAATAGGACTTTTCCAGACTAGCTGAGGCCATGTGACATGTATGTAGATGTAGCCTCTCATGTAGGGACATGGGAAAAAGTAGAGGCATTTTTCATCTCTTCCTCAATAGTCAATCGCTCAATCCTCAAGCTCATTTTTGATTTTCAAAAAGTGCAAGTGTTGAAGTGAAACTAGATTATTTTTCTTATTTTACACCAAACTGACTAAAGAAATTGTCAAAATACCTGGCATATTAGGGTAAACGCGGTATATTCCATCATCGTGGGTAATTCCGTCACGGTCACTCGGTCAGTACTCAGTAACGCATACGGTTATTTTTTTATAGTTTTTCATTTCTCAATGCGTCCTTAATGTGACGGAATATACCGCGTTTACCCTAACTAGTATTGCAATTGGTCAAATTCATGGCATCATTGGTGTTTTTGTCTGATTCACAGGTAGCTTCTGGTCAAGCCTTCTGCCTCTTTTTTCACCCTGTCACCCGGGATTGAACTCGGCTATTTAATTTTTTGGCAGAGGCCAGACGCCAGAGTGCGGCCAGACTACTAGGTACCTGAGGCTGAAGCTGAGGCTTGAGGCCATCGTGGCAAACTAAACCAGAGCTTTTTTGGAATCAGTTCACTTTTAATTTCCTCAATAACTTAAGATTTGAACCAATTTCTTAAGTATTATAATGCAGCTGACCCCAGCTGTACACCTACCACTGGGCACTGTGCAGAGAGTGGATTATATAAATATTGCAAGATTTTTGGCCATGCTTCAGCATAGTGGCAAAGCAGAGAGTTTTTTAGACTCTCCCTCAAGTTCATTTTTTAGTCCTATAAGTAGACCAGAGAAGTATCATGGATACCGTAAAATGGGGTAACTTAGACCAGCGGGGTAACTTGGACCACTTTCAGTTTTTTTAACAAAAACCCCCAAAACTCAAAAACTATTTGATATAGAAAAATTTTATCAATGGGCATTAAAGGCCTAATACTGAGGCTACATTACACAATAGAAAGATAAAAAGTTTGCATATCTAATAGGTTAAAAAATTAAAAATGTGACCCATAAAAAAAAAGCTATTATTTAAAGCCTGTCAGAGTACCCCCTCCAATTTTTTTTTTTTTTGGTTAAATAACTCAAGGATTTGATGCATTGTAGTAGAACTCTTCTAGTTACATATGCAAATGACAAATTTTAGGAAAGTGTCATAGTTTGCAAATGGTGGGTGCTGCCCCCAAATGGGGTAACTTAGACCACCTAATGTCAGCCCTGACAGGGTAACATAGACCGGCTTGGAAGTTAATATAAAATTACCATGTATAACATATTTATCGTCACTATTCCAACCATCATACGCACATATCGTCACTATTTCAACCATCTACGCATGCATGGAACTAAGACCAAGCATAATATAAAGGAAAAAGTTGAGGGGTGTCGGAATTACCCACAGTGTTTGAATATAGTGCGTTTACCCTATATATATATACTACTCATGTTGCACAATTATTCACACATGTATAACTGACCACATAGTTTTTATTGCCTGCTGTTGCCAACTGCTGCCAGCTCTTGAACCCAATCAGGAAAATTGGGAAGACATTTTGATTATAATTAAAAATATCTTCCTGACATTTTTAAAATGATTAATTTCTTCATGACATTTTAAAAATGATTAATTGCTGGTCAAATTTAGAGAATCATGGCCAAAAATATACTGTTATCCTTATTTTTCATAAAATAAATTATACAAGGGCCATAAATAGACTAAAAGGGTGAAATAGACTACAAGCATGGGTTTTTGGCATAGAATACACATGGAAACTTGATGAAATATTTGCTAAATTCCAAATCAGGGGCCTTACTGCCAAACTGGCATGAAGATATATACATAGCAGCCTAGTTACAATTATCCATCAATTTCTTGTCTGTGTTAAAAGCCATCATTGCTGTTAAGAGTTACAACCATATAAATATTTTTGATAGTAGGGCCAAGGTGCTCAACTAGAACCAAATCACACTAAAGTGCAGCAAAAATTGAGACAAACCACCATAATTTAAGTTTCTATTATGAGTTAGCATCCTGCATCAGTGTGACAATGCAACTACGTTACAATTTAAAATATTTGAACATTTCTAGTTTTACTGAGCTGGGAGAGACTTGCATTGAGTTTCTTTCCTGAGATGTAAGAGTTGCAGATGGCTGTGTTTGATTGATCATTTGTGATCAAAACAACTGCTATGCTTTTTTTATGCCTTTTTGAGATGAAACCTCATTATCATGCTAAAATTTGCTTGGTTCAATCATGAAAGTCCCAACTTTTGACTTAGCAATAAAGTTTCTTTTTAATTTTTCATTTGAAAATTTATCTTATTTACAGGTATATATTCGTTGAAAAATTAAATTGTTTTGACTTTGAACAATTGAGACTATAAACAAATTAAGGATTCACCATGGCTGGAATCAAAGGTGAGTTTTATTATATACTTTATCATAAAGTGTTTGTTCAGCATTGAGCCATTGAGGCAAAGTGTGGGCTAACTTCATGTTGCACTTTACATTAGACTGTTCCACATGGCACAAGTAACTGTTTGATGACTGATACAAGTCTGTAATAAAAAACAACCCCAAGCCTCCCAAACCACCCAGGAGAGTTCCAGCCGTTTCAAGTCTCAAAATCTTAAATCTGCTGTCATACATAATATTTTTTGCAATTTTTTATAATCTATCTGATCTAGCTGATGGAATGGTCAAACTTGTCAATTCAGTTATTATAGTGGAGTTCTTCATAGCTTAATGTTGAAAATAAATTATTAGTCTGACTCCTATGAAAAAAATAACTATTGAAATCAAAATGAAATGTAATTTTGACCTGCTTTTTTTTGTTACTTGTTAAATATCTTGGTTCTAATGGAGCATTTTTTGCTGACCTGCAGCTCTAGTGACGCTGGCTTTCCTGGCCTCTCTTGGTGTGATGTTCCTCATCTTGGCCTGTGCTCTGCCCCGCTACAAGTAAGTGTAGCAAGACTATCTTGTAATTCACTATTTTTAATGCATTTTCTCATTTATGGAAAAATGCACTATTGTTCTTGCCATGTCCGTCTGTCAAAAACTTCATGTTTTTGTTAATGAGAAAATGCGCGCTCTGTCACTCACTGCAGTGAGTATACAGAGTTATATTTATTATGTTTTTGGAAGCCATTTGATTTTGAGGCCCTATAAAAGAATGTGACCATATCCCAGATACTTGACTGTCATGGCGTCACAAAATAATGCAAGTTCCAAAAGTACAACAAATATTGGCAAGAGAACAAAACCACAGTGAAGTGGTAACCTTGCCTGACCTTTTTGACACATTGCCATGTCAAAGAGATATACCTACCTATCATGTGTTCATTTCTTGAATAGGCCAGAGTACCATAGTTAAAGATATTTCAATCTCTAAATTGACACCGAGTTTTTTGGAAGACATTGCAATTTTAGGGAATGGAATGTTTGGTGATGAAACAGGAAATGGAGTGGTTAGTGGGATAATAAGAATCTGGATCATTAGTTGGAGATTTGAAAATGGAATAGTTAGTAGTAGAACAGTAAAGAAATGTAGTATAGCGGGACAGTTCAACAAGAAAATGGCAAGTGGAAGGAGAGTAAACTAAGTATTTAATTAGATCATTTGAAATAAGATGGTTTGTAGGTCATAGTGAACAAACTGATTAGTAAGAATTATTAACCTAGAAAAAGAAATTTTGTGGCTTTTCTCCTATATTACCGTAGTAACAACTAACAATGATTATTGACTAATACTTTGATTTAAGTTAGGTAATGTGGTATCTTAGGCTTTCTGCGACAGGACGTGATTTGTTCTAAAATGAGAATGCTAGTGCAAAAACAATATGAAGAAAGGGTTCCTATCAAGTAGATTGAACAATATTAAACTGGGCAGCAAGTTCACATCCTACAATGAACCAAATTACGGGTGTAGAAACAGGTAATCCAAACACAAGTTAAGGTGAACGCTCATCCTTTAAGATCACACAAGTTCCTACTCATGAAAATCCTTGATTTCGGGTGATGTCCTGTCCTATGGTTCAATTGTGGTACCTTGTAGGTCTCCATCAATTTTATTATTTCATCTGCAGCGCCGTATTGTTTCAAGAAACCGGACCACGGCCTTTGTTCTGTCTTTAGAACTTCACAGGATGCCTGAAGGTTGTCATAGCCTTAGGCTCAATAGCGGCCGTACTTAAGAATGGTTGTATTGTCTCTACTGTCTATGATGTTAGTCCAAGCTTGTTGCCGTACTGCAGCTGCTGATCGATGGCCATGAATATACTACGGATTGATAAAAATCGCTGCAGAGTTCATCACTGGGATGTTTTGATTGCTGGTTTTATAATCACTGGATGTCTTGTTGCATAGTGTGCTGTCTAACCGGCAAGTCACATAGTATTTATGTTGGCCCTCGTGGAAGTTATTTAAATATTGTTGATGCTCCTATATAATTGTCGTAGTGGTAAGAATCGTTCGATTAACGTTTAGCGTAGCCGAAATTATTTTTTAACTCGGTAGCCACTGGTCACGAATGTCACCTACGCATGACGAGGTAGTTGGTGACGGCATTGTTTTCTCTTCACGTTCTTGGATGACAATTACTACAGAAGAACGACCTTGTTGCGCGAATTTTAGATCCTTATTAGGCTAGGGTGGTGTAAGGTTTAGTTACCTTGAAGACTCCGCACAGAGTTAATAGTTAACCTTGGTCAGCCCTCGTTATGCCCTCCCCTGGCGTAAACAAACTCGTTCTCACCTTATGGTATCCCGTTTTGTGGTTAAGCCATATTGTGCCTCTAGTCGATAGAAAACTCATACCTCTCCCAACTTATTTCCAAAATATATGTTCGATATTATAATAATAAGTAGAGTTCCAATTACATACGCTTTAATCAAACAATACGTGACGAAACGGTGAATAGAGCAATAAGAAGCGAACTCATTAATGCGATAATAAAAAAATGGTTTGTGGGTCAGTTGAAGAAATTAATGATTAGAGGTACAACAAGGAACAAAGGGGCAATACAAGTTTAATGTGCCTCAATTTGATATACGCTTGTTTCAGTAACTGGTGGCCGCTGTTTGTACTTGTGTTCTATAAAAAAATGGTTTGTGGGTCAGTTGAAGAAATTAATGATTAGAGGTACAACAAGGAACAAAGGGGCAATAAAAGTTCAGTGTGCCTTAATTTGAAATACCTATTTCAGTAACTGGTGGCCGCTGTTTGTACTGGTGTTCTACGTGCTGGCGCCGCTACCGAACATGTGCAACCGCTCGGACGGGTCCGGCAACACGTCACCTCGCCGCGAGTTTGGCTGGTTCATCACAACCATCATCATCGTGTCAGCCTTCGCCCTGCCTATTGTTCTGGCGCGCTCCCCTGCCACTGCTCCTGTGGTAGGTGGCCCATGTGGGGCAGTAGTGGCTAAAGTGTGGGGGTGGTGGTGACAATGAAGGCAGCGGTAGCTGAAGTGAGAGTGACACGAGGGTCTCTCACACTTGTGTCACTCCCTATAGTGTTGAGAATGTGGCACGCATTACGAATGTCTAACACGAGTGCCATAAGTGTGATAGGAGTTGTCCGAGGTTGCTCTCAAGACATTTAACTCATTATATTAAGCTCTACCTGAGGATCGGGTTTCGTTGACTAAGGTAGTGAGGGATAAGTAAGAAACATAAGTCCAGATAACGTATCTTGTATACGGGTGGTAATACAGATTGCGATACAGAGGAATAAGCTACGGCATCGACCGTAAGGTCGGAGAACTCAAGCTACACGCTACATCGCGGAGTGCTCATCAGCTACTGGGGGCTTTGCTTAAGGTTGCTAGCCCTTTTATAACGTTCGCTTCCGCCCACTACTGCGGTCTTGATCGCGTGATCAATCACGTGTCTATCAGATGTTGACTCGTCCTCAATCTCTTTCAGGTCAAGTGAATTGATACCGCGGACAGAGTGTTAAAATTATGGCTGGAATGTTGAAAGTGTGGCTCGAGTGTCAAATGAATGCCTGGAATGTTAAAATTGTTGCTGGAATGGCAAACGTCTGAAATTGTCAGAATTGTTTAACATTGTCAGAAGTGTCTAAAACTATCAAGTGTTCCGAGGAGCTGTGCAAAATGCGACCATGGGTAGAATAGTGCCAATTTTAGTGACGACAAAGGTGCATAATATATTTTGATGCTAATACTATAACAATTGTGTTGTTAACTATATCAATAATTAGAGATATGATCGTGCAAAAGTCGAAAACTGAACTTTTTCATGTTATACTGATGTCGAAGAGCACGAAGTGTTCACTATGAAAAAGCTAATAGTAGTTATTAAGTTATTAACTGTGGCAATTTTTTATCATTAGCTATTATATTGTTATTAGCTGGGACTAGTAAGTTTGTTATCGTTTAGACTCATCGTTGATGTTGAGTCTCTCATCATTTGGGTTATTAATTTATTTATTCTACGAAGCATTCATCGTGGCGTGTGGTTTAAACAAAGTTAGAGGGTACGTTACACATATGTTTGATATCAAGAGAAAAATGAATAAATAGCGAAAAATAAACAAACTCTCAGTGACAGTGTTTTGTTTTAACTCTGACTTTGCTGTTCACTTGCCGCTGCCTGCAGATTGAGTGGGGCGCGTGCTGGCTGGTGCTGGCAGGCAACGTCGTCACTTTCTTGACGATCTTCGGCTTTGTGATGATGGCGGACAGCGACGACATCGAGTACAGCATGTGGTGAGCCTCCTCTTGTGGTGAGCCTCCTCATGTGGCCACGACGCCTCCCCTCGGCCGCCTCATGCCTTCTATTCCCTCGCGTTGCAGCTCTTCCTTTAGGAACCGAGCGTCCGCTCGGGATTTGTCGTTCTCGTTCATTCGGCCCTGCGACGACTCGGGATTTGTCGTACGTTCGGCAGTACTTTCTCTTGAGAACTTCGTCCATTATTAGGGGCCTGTATTTCAGCCCTGTTGATTGACACATTTTGAATAAGGAAGGCTTTCTATTAAAAATATTAAATTTCTAATGATTTGTAGTCCATCGATTTTGATTTTAAATCGAAGACGTTTATCCGTCAAGTCTTGAAAAAATTTCGAGCGACCATTCAAAATTTCGTGGCACATACAGCTAGTGTAACAAAGAAAGAATTAGGGGCATCATACTACTTAGCTTATCTATGGAGAACGATGTTGTATCTCGCAGTGTGTCTTGTGTCGGACATTTTTGATGCGTGTTCAGTCAATTATTGATCTATGTGTTCGATTACTGCATTCAACTCCTAAGGGCAATGTCCCGCATGTCGTTAGTTATTTCATGTATTCTAGCCATAGAATCATATTCACTTGATTTCCTGCATTAAAATTACTCTACCAGCTCGGAATTTTTTGGTTTCGTGTCAGCTGGGCTGGCGTAAATGTACTTAACTTCTTCAGTTGTGGCGTATGGACATTGCTCATCTCTTCAGATTGCCATTGCTCATCTCCATCGTCAGAGGTGCTTTCCCTGCGTTCCCTCTGATGCTTTTTATTGTTTGAATACTTTAACAGTTCTGGTCCTCGTTCCTCATGGTCAGTTATATTAAAATGCTCTTAATTTGCTGTTAGATTTACTGGCAGGGTAGAAACGAACAAACTCGTCGTAAAAATTTCCATGGTGGTCGGAGTTGTTGAGATACAAGTAAAAATAACAGAAAATTTCTGAAAAACACGACTCCTTGATTTTTAATGGGGTGTTCGAAATATTCTGCTGGTTCTTAATAATATAAGGAAACATTCAGGAGATGATGTGTTCCATGTCAAGATGTGTACTACGTTATGTCATGATGCACATACGACATCAAAATGTTCGTAATTCTGCTATCCTTATTTGATTCCTGGGTGTGGTTGCAATGCAGATATGTTTTAATTCTCAAGATTGCTGGGACTCATTAGGCTGCGCTCACTCTCCAACTGGTAGTTGGTTGAGGCTTTGCAGTTCAACTCTGTGCTTGTAACTCTGAGATTGTTTATTCTATTGCACTACACTGCTTCTGTTTAGTCGTCAGTTCGGCTGTCGAGAAATATAGTTACTTGATCTAGTCACTTTATAAGCATTGTCTCTTAGTAAGAAGCAAGGGTGTGTATTTTCCTGGTATCTTATTTTCTTACGTTAAGTTTGGTTAAAAATAAATGACCAGATATTCGTATTCTGCTTTGCACTAACGGCTTCAGACGCGATGAATGTGGTAGCTACTAACCCATGTTACCGGCAGGCTTTGGTGTCTAATATAACACGTCTGAACCTTCACCCCAAAACTTCGTTGCATATCTTATGGGTTTATCAAGGTAGGCATAATTCGCATGGTATTGCTCTGTAAATAATGATTTCACTTTTGTTAAAGGCCAGCTGGGGCCATACTTTCAAAACTCTCTAAGTGAACGTAAGTACTTACGCTCTATTTTCTTGTCTATGATTGGTGGATTTGGCTTGAAAGGCCGTCAATGATTGGCGGATGAACTTACGATATCTTAACTTTTTTTGAAAGTATGGGCCCAGATCAAGGCGTATGTGTTCCCATTTCGTGCTTGAACTTTGAGGATTACTCTCACATTGAGACGGTAGTAGGTGTGAAGTGAGAGTGACACTTTCAAGCGCCGAGTTCGCGATCGTGCATTCAACAGGCATTATAGTTAACCAAAGATTTCCATGTAAGTGATAGAACTCGTGTGTTCTGACATCAGCACCTCGGCTTTATAAGTATAATTTTTAAACAAGATGAGCTGCTTCTTATCCTATAAGGAAATGTTTAAAGTGTTTCGGATCATATTTCATTCCATGCAGTGTAGAGCATTTGCAACCAAATGCATATTTATTTTAACAGGATTATTTCTGTCCGTGAAATTAGTAATTGCAACGTGACAGAAGTCACTTACTGCCACGTGACAGTCTGCCACGTGACAGCAAGTCACTTACTGCCACGTGACAGCAAGTCACTTACTACCACGTGACTGCTGGTCAGGACGGTATTACCATGGTTGAACTAGTATAAGGTTGACCCATCAGAAGCCCATTTTTGCGGATGTAGTTAGTTGTTCGCCTGTGACGTCACTGATGTCAGTGACGTCACGGGCATTAACCAATCACTGAAATGCGATCAAACCAGTCGACAAATCCGTCATGGGAATGACGGGTTCGTTTACGTTTCTCGATCTACGTGACGTAACAAGAAAGATGAACTGAAAGACTGAACATGTCGTGGGTCAACCTTATATAGTTCAACCATTGGTATTACTGCCACATGCCTGCAGACCGCCTTGTTCTGCGTGAGATCACGTCACGTGCGTTAATATTGTGCAGTTCGTCAGCATAAGGACTTAACTCGGCGACTCTGTAATACAATGCACTGCCTGCCAACAAGTTTGTTCGGTCATATTCTCAGCGGTCTGTTCCTTACTACAAGCGGGCATGTTGGAAAGTGAAGACGAATCTTGGTAAGCTTTATTAAGACAAACTGTTTTCTCTGATTTCTCAGCAGTTTTATTTATCGTACGTTCCGTTCTCCAACCGCTTCGAACATTGAAAGATTCAATTTTTGTGTAGGTACGAAAGAAGCCAATGTAACGAAACGTCTAAGCAGAATATTGGCACACTCTATTTCGGTAGAGTGCATTCTTCAATACAAGGCTAACATGCAGGACTTGTTTTCTCACCAGTTAACATTTTTTGATGCCACGATGTTGATGGGCTCCATTGTAAGTATGTCTAAACACTTGATACTTTTCTCCGTCTTCTATAGGCAACACAATCATCTCTATAATATATTTTGCAAGTGTAATATCATTTGGTTGACGACTGAACGTTCATTAGCCTCAGTAAATTTTTACTATGATTAGCTTAACTGCTTTCTATAACGGATATGAACCTGCTTTGCTTACCACCTCGCATCAATTTTTCCATTCACTTCAGTAATATTGGGTTATAAATATAGCCACGTTCACATAATGTAACTATAATCTTATCAGCATGCATCACGCAGCCTCGGACGTCTACACTTCCACTTCATCTGCTTGATTGTTCAATATTTGCGTATGTTTTTTGTCTTATAGTTATTTGTGTTCGTGTATTATTTCTCAATTTTAATTATTCTGACTCGTCACTCTCACCTATTGTCACCTGGGGCCATACTTTCAAAATTCGCTAAGTGAACGTAAGTACTTACGCTCTATTTTCTTGTCTATGATTGGTGGATATTGCTTGAAAGGCCGTCAATGTTTGGTGGATGAACTAACGATCTCTTAACTTTTTTTGAAAGTATAGGCCCTGTTCTGTAATATTAACTGAAGCACGCTTCCCTCGCTATCTACTAAACTCTTGCGCAAAGGCGAATTTTTGCGGCAAAGATTTGTCCTGCAATTGAGGTATAACTGCAGACCGGGTCGATGATTTCTTGCTTGCCATTTGCTCTCTCCGCGATTGTCGGCGTGGCCTGTAGCGGCCGTAGGAGTTTCATGAGACGACCACTTTATTTTATATGATAATTGCAGTGTACAGTTCTTGCAAAAACGAAATTTTGCACCATATTTTTTTATCTGCGATCACGATATTTGTTTAAAGTTCATAAAGAATCTCCTCTGCTTTCCTTTTATTTCTATTCACCCTGTACTCTTGGTATTTAGGCCCTTTATTTTCCGTCAAAATCTAAGGGCAAACTATGCGCAGTTTTCATCTTCAGAAACATTTCAAGACTCGACTCTGAGCCGCAGTTTGTACGTGTCATCACAGAAACAAACGCTTCAATATTATATTCTTTATTGTTGCATACAACTACCCTTGCTTAGGCTGCGTTCGTAGTCGTACTCCGCACAAGTGGTACGGCATTCGTCATTATTCGAGCCTACAAGAAGCGTGCTCTTTTGTGTAGGTTTCTCCTATTTTTTATCCTACATTTTTAAAGACTCGTTTTAATTGACTCTCTTCCTGTATGTCACAAAGCAAGAAGACATATTCATTCATTAGAACATATTTATTCGCATTAGCATTCATTTCCTAATGCATTTAAGTGTAGAGCCTGCGTTGTCGCATTGTTGTCTTGTCTGGATTATGGCCGTAGCAGTGCACAGTTATTTGATAATTTATTTTAATTTAGTATGGCAGTATTTTATTTGTGTTGGCCTAAGTAAGACTTTCGAATCCAACGAAAACTAATGACTTTGAACAATTCTATTATCATTAAGTTAGCACCAATATTGCCTTAATTGTTGCATGCTTCCGTTGTACAGCTTCTATTTTATGTTTCATAATCGGCAAGTAGTTCAGATTTTGCCTTGAATTTATAACACATTGTACAGCAGCTTAGTTTTTGTGTGTTTCTTCCCCCTTCAGAATGTGAGGACCGAGACCCCGACTTACCTTCGTGCTGCTCCATGCAGTCGCAGTCAACGGCCCCAGTACACAATATTTCTAGCATTCAAACGCCCTCAGCTGTGCTGCTAAGTGCCTTTTACTTTCATTTATTTCCCAAATTACGGCGTTACTTGTTGTAATAATTCTTGATAATTTATAATATGCTATTCTATAGTGATGAAACTAGAAGAATTTGAAGATATCAATTCAATGCAGGCTAACTGTCGGTAACAGGGTTTGGTTTTTCAGTCATGTCTTTTTTTTTATGTCTCAAAGCCTTGATGTAGCCAAAGATACTGGTTTACTTTAATAATTTCAGAGTAAAGGTGCGCACACAGGAAAAGCAGGTTGCCAGCGTGCTGGTTACCTGCTCAGGCTGGCGCCTGAAATCATAGAATACAGAAGCCTATTCGTACAGGTTTTCACTGTGAACACTTACATTATTATCCTATGTTCATTCTTGTGGCAGGTTGAAACCATAGCATACAGAAGCCTATTCGTACAGGTTTTCACTGTGAACACTTACATTATTATCCTATGTTCATTCTTGTGGCAGGTTGGAGCAGGTTGCCCGCGCGGGCAAACCTGCTTTCACTGTATGCGTACCCTAATGGAAGTTCTAGAGTTGATAAATAGTTACATCAACTTGGTTACAGATATAAGACCGAGTATAGTAGAGTTAATCCTTGTAATCGAAGCAGATGGTCAAATATCTCCGCCCCCGAAGCGATCCAGCGGTCTACTGGTGCTCATGCAGATCTGTCTTGATTATAATTATCCTGCTCATGCATGCTTGTGTAGATTAGCCTTGCAATAAGTTATAAATAATGGGCAAAAATTTACGTTTTTGTGCCTGATCGACAACTCGAAATCACAAAATATCCTACAACAGTTCGGATGTTGATTTAAGTGTCATTGCACCATGGCTTATTTGATAACTTTCACTTCTACGTCATACTTCCAATGTCGATAGTATACTGTTATTTTTTCAATTGTTTTGGCACTCATTACTTCTTTGCATGTAGATAGTGTATAAACTACAGAAGTATAGTTGCTGGACAAATTTATACAAGTACAGGTGAGTCTGGCTTTTCAATTGGGTTTGTTCCCTTCAGACTTGAGTAGCGTCAACTGGGGTGACTTCGGCCGCCGGGGTGACTTTGGCCACGTTTTTGATTTTGTTTTGCCAACAAAAACGGGGTCGTAAACGCCAGGGTCATAAACGCCAGGGTCGTAAACGAGGTCATAAACGCCGGAGTGACTTTGGCCATCGTTTATGACCCCGCTTTTGTTTGCAAAACAAAATAAAAAACGCGGCCGAAATCACCCCGGCGGCCGAAGTCACCCCAGTTGACGGTAGCCAAGAAACGATGAGGTACGTCAATATCTTCGTTCAATGATCCGTGAACAATGCTTCTGAAACGAACTTCTTATTCACACCTTGAAATATACTTTATGTACGACTCCCATTTTTACGTTCAGTTTTAAATTTTTTTTATAACAAAAAATTTTGAGAATAATTTCCTTGAGATTTTTCTAGGTTCTAATTGGTGGATGGCAATAGTATAGTCAGAGTGCCCAGTTTAGGACGGAAGAATCTCGTGTGTTGCCCAGCGCAGAACTGCGTTTTGCTCTTTAGATTACAGTTTCCTATCCGTTAGATAAGAGTTAGATCCGTTAGATATTACTTCGCGATTTTTTTCAACTGTCAGTTTCATGTAGATAAATTTTGGATGTAGGTTTCGGAAACTAGGAATAATTTTCGGAGTTACGTCAAGACGGCGCAAAGTTTCTGAAAGTTGGTTTTTAGCTCATCTTAAAATACCTATGTATCGCATTAAACATTGACTGTTTAATCCGACCCTTTAATGCGATGTTTTTTATCCTTCCATCTGTAAAAGCTGTAGGTGTTGTTCACTATTACTTCTGACTAAATTTAGTGATATAAATTTAAGCACTATGTTATATACTTATGTATTTTATAATTCCATCTACAGTTTTGTAATAAAATTATGTAAAGCTTCTTTCCATGTCCATTAGTAGTTTACTAATTTTGTATTTATAAAGATAATTTCCTATACTTTTTTAATCTGCTTTGCTACAAATTCCTGATATTTTGAGACTACAATTCAGAGCATCGAATAAATTTTTTTGCGACCATTGGTCATAGTGATCAAACACAAATATAGTTGGTGCAGAGCGCTCGTTCTCCCATGAGAGCTGGGGCCATACTTTCAAAACTCGCTAATGAGCGTAAGTACTTACGCTCTATTTTCTTGTCTATGATCAGCGGATTTTGCCTGAATGGTCGTCAATGATTGGCTCATGAACTTACGATCTCTTAACTTTTTTTGAAAGTATAGGCCCAGGTCGATAATATTAGCTCTGATGTACGTCTAATATTCCATCTTCATTGGACTTCTAGTGATGCCTTGAATAGCTTGTGGTCTACGTTAGCCGTGACCATCGTTCCTCTTGCTCGTGAAATTTATCCATGTGTACGTAATGCTGCGGCGACTTATCAGCACACTCAACTGGTGAATTTGATTCTTGATTGGTTCAATGCTGAACTTAATTTAATAATCACTAAAGTCATCATTAGTCGTGATCACTTTTATAGTTATAGTATTCTGTCGAAATAGTGACGTTTGTACGGTTGATTTTTAAAATTGAGATTTATATTTCGCGTAGAGACTAAATTCAAGCCCATCACTCCGGCTGCATGCTTTGTCATATGAAGGCAACATGTCATCGAAAATATTTGGGCCTCAGACAACAAGGTACGTATGACTCCCTCGATCTTCAAAGTGCCAAATACTTTAATTTATGCTTCTAAGAAGATTGTCTTCATGTTGAGGCTTTATATTAAAGTTTTGTTAATAACGCCAGGTGGCGAACCTGTTGAACGTTACTCTCTTTGCAGCGCATTTGCCTTGTTCCTGCTTCTTAATATTCTAGATGAACATTTTCTAACACACGGTCGAGACATCGACATCTTCAGTTTAATCACTTAGGAAGGGAGAACACCGCCACGCGGGCGTTTCGCTTGAGATGTAGTGTACCTAATTCTAATATACCAGGCCAGAGGTATACGATATGATTACGATTTAAATGCATTTCTCACAAAAACAATATTCGTATATTGTTGGGAATTTAAGCATAAACAAACTAAATTTTAGCGAAGGTGAAAGGTTGGAAGTAGATGAATAATTCAAGGTGCGCAATTCTAACAACACTGCCCGGATGAGATGCAGCTTGCTCTATGATATTTAATTAATATTCTAAACTCAACTTACATTAACGAATTTAACGTTGTCAGAATGGTTCAAAAGTCCTCAGTTGGTTAACTTGGTTTGGATTCAATAGTGATGTTATTCATCGGAATTTGTATTAGATTACAAACATCCCAAACAATATCCTCATAGAAATCTGGTTCATGCTTCTCCGTGTGGTCGCTTTTAAATAACATTCGATTAATCTTGATTCAACCTAATTATTAGCGAGTGTTTGTCTTCCCTTGGTTCTTAGATGTTCCGTAAATGGAGCTTTATTGAGCAAACAGTTTCCACGTCTGAGCTTGATTAATATTGGTGTGTATTTTTTGTAGTACGCGACACCAATAATTGATTACGTTTCAACTCTTTATTCTACTCATTATTGAGCACGAAATTGCTTGAGGACTCTTGAAGAATAGACGGAACGTACTTGGAAGGTCACATTTCTATGTATACCATTTTTATACGTCGAAATTATTTTCGTGAGCGTATGAACGGAGTACAGGTTGTGTACTCGTGGACAGTCTATGCAGAATTTATTGGTGGATCGTTTACCCATCTGTCATTCATTCACCACTTCACCGAGTCAAAAGTGTTCATACATAGTCCACGGATTTGGAATGAAGTACGCTCATTCCTGTGTACATTTAATCCCTTAACTTTCATTTCTTTCCTGCATTCGTCTCGTGCTAAAATATTATTCGCGTTGCATGGCCATTTTTCCCATCCCAGCTTTATGATCATTTTTCCTTGCATAATATAGTTAGTGCTTTACGTAACCAGCATTCCTAATTAATCCGTGTCGTTCATTATTCAACACTTCTAGTGCAAGCTCAAATCTAACTCATTCGAGTCTGTTATGCAATCTTTCGAATTTTGGACATTTTATAAATAATTTTCCGAAACATGAATTAAAATATTTAAGCATATTTGTCTGTAAAATGCATATATTTGGGTCCCCTGAATTAGACTATGCATACTTCTGGGAGATTGCATCCTTTAAATATCATTTGTTAGCAAATTTTTCTTCAAATATTAAAAAAAAACAAGATATAAATATTTAAATGTATCAAGATTGTCTGGGAGATGTCAAGATATATCAGAGAGAAATTGTGCTAATTTTCATACTAAAATGTGGCGACGCAGAGAACTTAATTAATGAGCAACACTTGATCGTCCTGCAGGATAATCATCGGAACTAATCCAGTTAAAGCCGAGTGTCCCAGTGTCAAGTTCGACAATGCCATAGTTTACATAGGGGGCATTTTCAACGTGTTTATTTCATGTAAACCACACGATGAGGAATAGAAGGCAATTAATTTTGAGAATGAGAAACAAAATACAAATAATTTCGTGAACATCAACGATTTTATTTATTTTGTTGGGTTTCAATGGGTTGGGTGTAGGTATATTTTGGAAGTCACCGATCTGAAAAAGCTCTATGAACAAAAGTTTTCAAAATTTTTGTAATATCAGTGTTTTACTTCTGCTGTAGTACCTATGCACATCTCATCAACAGGCAATGGGCCGATTTTTTCAGTGACAACACTTCTATTCTATGTGTTGGAGGCCTTCAATGCTCTATCTCACGATTAATTCATATTCCTCTTCGTGGACAGTTGTGCAAGTAGGCAATAACCCCACAGAAATTATTAGTAACTCCGTAATTAGTTGTATGTGTTGAAAATGCACTGTAGACTTCACACGCAATCGTCGGTCATGCTTATTGCGGGAAAACAAATGAACGGAAGTACATAGGTAAAAGTTGGCGCGCTTTTTCATTTCGTGAATTTTGTACATATAGATATAGATTACGGTAGTTGATTTAAGGGTGAAGGAATTCTGCATTTCTGATAATTTGACGTTAGGTGTAAAGATTTGGAGTGCAGCAAAACTCTGCATGGCATTCGGTTTACCGCTGTAACTTGCTGCAAAAAACTGTATCAAATTCTAACCGTTTTCTGACTGGTCATCGCCATCGGCACTTCGAGACTGACAAGACTCAAAGCAGGGAGCTGAGTCCGGACTCAGCTGACCGGTCTCGGCTCTCGGTGTCGGTGAGTGCTGGAGCTACTGGTAACTGGCTGTCTGGCTCAGTGCTCAGTGCTTGATGATCCGGCGTCGAGGTGTCATGCGCGTTGCTAACGCTCTAGCCTGGTGTTGACGTTGGTTGTGTTAACTGGTGACGTGCAAAGCAAACGCAACCTTGACTCACCTAGAAGACGTTGATATTATAATGTGATTCAAGTGTTTGCAGAGAAAAGCGGCATTTTAATTTTGTTTCACTTTAATCACAAAATCTAGGAGTAGGTGTACTACCGGTAGTACTTGAGTAGTTTTTCACGGTTTACCATCTCATTTCAATATTGTGCAAGTCAGTTAAGTCACCAAGTGCAACAACTCGCATGTAATCATATAGCTCAAACAATGTATAGTGTCCATATCTTGAATCAATGTGTTTGAAACTTTTATTTAGGTTAAAAATAACTTCTGAATAAAAATAAAATAAATACAATTATATTGTATATGTTAAAGCATCAGCCATTTATCCATTTTAGCTTTCGCTGCACATTCTAAAATTCCACCTAATTATCAACTTATTCTCTACTGGCCAAAAATCTAATTCATGTATTTCACTTATAAATGTACTTTTAATATCAGTGGCAGTGGGTCAGTTGTTGATGGCAGAGTTGACGTTTTAAATTCTTATAAATCGACGAAAATCTTTAGCAAATTTACATATTTGTGTTGCTAGTGCTCTTAGCTACTGAATCTACCTAATCTATATTTGTTTGCCTACATCTACCTAATCTATATTTGTTTGCCTATTTGTTTACATCATTCCATGATACCTACGTCTAGGCCCCCTATCGTGTCGGTATATTTCAACCTGAAATTTAATTCGTAGTTGGAGAATAGTAAAGACATTTAATGACAGAAAACTGGGAATGATTAATCGCAAAATTTAAGCATAATCTATAATTTGATGCGTTATATCTAATTAAATAATGAAAAATGAAGTTTCGTTGAATTTAAAACTGAGAGCTGATTTCCATGCAAAGTTTTGGAACGGGTAATGTTTTTAGATAATGTTAGATATTTAATAGATTTTTAGATTTTGTTAGATTTTTTTAGATAATGTTAGATATTTAGATAATGTTGTTCGGGTAATGTTTTAGATAATGTAATGTTTTCAAATTATTAATGAATTGTATATTGTAATGTTTTGAAATTATGAACTGCATACGTGATTCGGGAAGATGTATTCAGGATGGCAGGTTGCTAGTTACCTACCGGTGTTTTCTAAACGCCAAGATCATTTATCTTTGAAACCTAGCTCAGTAAATATATAAGGGTTGTTCTGGTGCAATTCCACGATACTTATTTTCCTGAGATATTAAGTGAGAGGAAAATGTAAGTTTTAATTGTAGAGTCGTGTTCATTGAAAATAAAAGGGGTAAGCCTACTAAGTTAGATTAGTATACTGAAATTTTAATTATACTTAGGTGAATGTGCATTTTATGCAAAAATAAAAAATGTACGTTTATTTCAAATTTCTAAAGAGGAGTTCAATGGGAGTTCCGATATAAATTTCGTCTGCAGCGGGTTCATCTTTAATCAGCGTAATTTAGTTCCAAAATTATTAACTTAATATGGAAAGAAGAAATCTAAATGACGGGATTAACCTGCTATACATAGTTGTATATGAATCTAGGTACGCCAAAATCTCATAGATCATTAACGTTAGAAATAATAGGCATGAAATTTGCAGTGAACCACCAATTCATTCTGAGTTAAGTTTTCTCTGTTTGTAGGATAGAAAAGATATTTTTTCACGAGGCGGCTTGGTTGATGGAATATGATATCTTTAATCTGTATAGATTCATTTGAAATTTGGGAATAAAGGAACGCTTGTAGCCTCTTGAGACTTCTTAATACTCTCTGTCCACTTTATGCTTGCCATTTGACATGAGCTAAGGATTAAAACAGTATTATACCTTTAAAATATGAATACTTAATTTTCCTGATTCAGATTTCCCTGTTAAATTTCCAAGCGTTTGTTAAGTGAAGTTGGAACGTAAAAGTCCGTTAATAATGCGATATGTTGAGGCATTCTAGTAGGTATATATGTTCTTGACGGTGCTCTGTTACAGTTTAGTTTACCGCAATAAGGGATTAGATCATAAGTGAGCGAGTGCCGGCGAACGGGAGCGTGACGCTCAGCGTATCACGCAGTCAAGAAGCGGCGCAGCCTGGATGCGTGGATGCGCGGCAACACGACAGCTCCCACGCAGGTCAGTGTCTCACACGTGCTCTTCTAACCTAACTTATTCCTTGATTAAACGCTAGCATTACCATTGATTTAGTCATTGCCCCATGCAAAGGCAACTGTAACCTCTTACCGCACTCACGTAAGTGTAAGTTAACTCACTGGAATTACTGCGTTGTTTGAGTCGTAGCCTCAACAATGCAATAGGGTTAGGATCTTTAAAATGCGCTCCCGTTAGAACGACATAATAATCTTGTTAAGTTTCATCAGTTAATATAGTCTGTAACGATGACGTGCAATGCTGATTTGAAACTATGATCGTAGTTAATGCGTATTTCTTAGTCGAAATTGTGAATGGAGCTCAAGTAAAACTAACTTCTGTAGATCGGTTCACGTAACTCTCATTTAGTTCTTTATGGTCTAAAACAGTGGTTCCCAAAGTGGGCGATATCGCCCCCCTAGGGGCGATGAAAAGATTTTGGGGGGCGGTAGGGAAGAAGAGGGCGGTTGGGGGGCGATAGGGGGTTTCTCAAATTCACAGTGATCAAGTAATTTCTTCCTAACTCGTTTAGCTCGTGAAATTTTTTTCGATTGCGCCTTAGTTCGCGAGTTTTTTCGCCTTCATTCGTGATCTCTTGGTTAAACCGACCGGTAGAAAAGCCGGTCGCTCCTCCAATATCTGTATTACTCGCGAACGAAAGCAAAATAAAAAAATTGTCACAAGCGAAACATCACTGTTGAGAGGTTAGGTATTTATATTCAAAGTTTAATTGAAATTTGTTTTGTAGTTTGGAAGAAATTTTTTGATCGCTTCGAATTTAAAAGTGACAAATTACCCGGCGATACGGGCCGAATATAGGGAAGTGTGAAATCAAGAATGACGGTGAAATGGAAAAAAATTGCAAACAAAGGTAAAATCTACAAAAAATTATAAGCTAAAAAATCACCGTTTTGTAGTTAGGAATGTATATTCAAAATTTCGTTCAAATCTGTTCAATAGTTTGGAAGAAATTCTTTGATCACTGGGAATTTCGGCCTGTTTCGCAATATACGCGTAACTCACGAATGAAAGTGACATTTAAAAAAATTACAAGCTAAATAACACCATTAGGTTCTCATGAATACATGTTCCAAGTTTCATAGAGCTGCGTTCATTAGTTTTGGAGATACTACTTGATAATTGAATTTGGAGATTGGTCGAGAGACCGGCCACGCGTCCGGCCGTAAATTCGCCCGAGACGTCCTAGGTTTCTAGTGCTGAAACTGTTGAAACAGCTGAAAAACATATTGGTTCACTAAATGGGGTTCTATTTGTGAAATACACATTTGTGTTTAACCTTTCTCTTTTAAATTGCAGCGTCCTAAATTTCAAGAAAGAGGCGCATGTCTGTGGGGGGCGCTAGAAATTCACTAGGGAGCCAAAGGGGGCGCCAGCCTGAAAAAGTTTGGGAACCACTGGTCTAAAAGAAAACTTGGCCGTCTCCCATGGTTGAATTTATTCTAAATATTTAAATAAAGCGGGAATAACAAATTCTATTTATGTCTTTAATAAATGAATTGTCAGCAACTTGATGAGGATGAAGGCCGCAAGTTTGGGAGCGTTGCTAAATATTTATAACCATACAAAAATTGATATCGCGTTTAAGGCATCAGATGCTTGGAAGGTAATCTAAAAAATTTCACAATAAAATAGACTCAAGACATTGTTCGGCGCAGATCGTTCCTCGATTGAGGTGATATGATTCATATGATATGGTATTCGAAACTCTTCAATGTTGTGTTTTATAATGAGAAAATTATAAATGGTGCATTTCTCTTTTTTTTTTAGTTGTAAACCAAGGACAAGTGTGTGAGCAATGCGTTTACTTGGATCATTGAATCTTGTAGCCTCTTATTTTCCGTGTTTGCATTAGAATCACATGGCTAAAGTGTAATCTGTTTATATGACTGAATATGTTATTCACTTTTTATCTTGAATTCTTAGTTTGTGCAATGAAAAAATAGTTATTCTATTCAATGGTAAACGAACGTTTTTCTTTCATGGGCTTTACTTCTGCATGGAAGGTTTCCCTCCATTGTCAGCTGAGCGTCTGCATGAAATGCTTGAAGAACAATGAACTTTGCCGAAGACATTATTCCCGAGCTCCTTCATGCCTTCTTTGCCTACATTGTTAGAAAAGACTACGATAAATTGCTGCCTGCTCTCCTTCTACGATACTTGCCTTATAACAAGAGTTGTAGGTAATACTGATAAAGAGCTGGTGATCGATGCTTGGAAGTCTGTTCCCAATTACTTATTACGCGAACAAAAGTGAATACTTTTTTTTATATTTTCAACCCTAATATTTCAAAATTCATCCATCATCAGAACTAGAAAAATAAATAAAAATTTTGTTCTGATTTTTCTAAGTAAGTTTGTTAATCTCTAGGGCACTTGGCCGATGAATATTTGACTGTGTAGTGATGTCTGATCGATGTAAAAGACTTTTACTCCTTGTTTGCTGGGAGAAAAATTTTTCTCGTTTGAATTTCCCAAAGACGTGACATGCAATAGAATGCATTTGGCTTAGCCAAGAAAAAATCATAGTCATGCTTCACACAGGATGTGAAATCGCTGGAAGAAAATAAATTGTAACAATGTTTTTGTTTGCCTACGACCCTTTCAGTCTCCACAATTATTCTCTTTGAACAACCTTGTGTTTTGAATGTGTTGCAATTATCACATCGAATGTAAAGCTACTGTGTTCGCTGATGAAAGTGCCTCTCGTTCCGTACCGGTGGTAAAAGCCTCTCTTAAGTATACGATGAGCAGAGTTAGCCGTTACTTATAGTCGGTGTGAATGCGCGCGCAGCGTTGTCGTCGTGCGTGCTGAGGCGTCACTTGGATGAGACGAGTGATGTTAGCTTTTCCATCGCGCTTATAGCGTTGTCGCTATCGAATTAGATTCGCTTTCTTTCGACCACAACACTTACGGTGGCTATGTTTGCATGTGTTGTTGTCTTTTGAAAGTAGTTGCTGCTAAGTTAGTCGTTTCGAAATTAGTCTGCTTCCACAAGCAGCTCGTGCGGGAATGTGGTCTTGCTTTGTTCTAGCAGTGAAGGAATTTTTTTGTTAAATAAAAGTTATTATTAATAAAGTTATTAACGTACGTACGTATTAAAGTTATTAACGCACACTTGCGCTAATATTCGTTGTCGTTCAAGTTTCGTATCACGAAAGAAGTTGCTTAGAAACGTTCCCGAAAATGTTGACAAAAAACGACTCTAAGCAACTTATGAAAAGCAAAAAGTGTCTTGGAAAGATTGACGGTTTAATTTAATCATTTAATTTTGTTACAATCACGAATTTCGAAAATATTATTCGTTACATAAATTCATAAATATTGGAGCCCAAACTGACAATGACACTATTCGCAAATGGTTGCGAGTAAGTGGTCCAGACCATGGTTGAGCTATATAAGGTTGACCCACGACATGTTCCCTCTTTCAGTTCATCTTTCTTGTTACGTCACGTAGATCGAGAAATGTAAACCAACCCGTCATTCCCATGACGGACTGGTTGACTGGTTTGATCGCATTTCGATGATTGGTTAATGCCCGTGACGTCACTGAGATCAGTGACGTCACTGGCGAACAAGGAACTACATACGCAAAAATGGGCTTCTGATGGGTCACCCTTATACTAGTTCAACCATGGTCCAGACTACAATATACGGACCACGTTATGTTAACTTCACGAATGTAGACGTGCTCTGGGCGGGCGTGTTGCAGAGAGAAAGTCATGCAGTGTCGAGCAGCATGGCAGGAAGTCGTGACGCTTATTTCCCAAAAGCTGTCGACTGTTACCTCCAAACTGACATAAACATGAAGTATGTAAAATCGATTTATTAGCTGAACTATGTATATTTGAAGTGCCTTTTAATTACCTAAACTCAAATCTGAGATCATGAGAGGAAAGCTCATTAGCCAGCCTTTACTAAACACAAAGATTTTGTTAAATACTATGATAATTTTCTAAAGGGTGAATCGCTGCAGTAGTTTGGTACAATTTTCTCCATTTTCGTCAACTAAACCGAGAACAAATTTCGTTGGCAAAATGATTACAACATTGAGAAATAAGCCCTTACACGGGATAATACGGCTCAGGCTCTCGTAGTCAGGCACAATTGCAACATTGAGAAATAAACCCTTATTCGGGATAATACGGCCTAGGCTCTCGTAGTCAGGCACAGTACGCGAGTTGGATTCCGCGTAGCTCCTGTTCGGAGTTTCTTGAACCGTCGTCTAGTTCTGCAGACCCGCCCGTCTTATGTCGCCGTGCGCTGGGGTGAATCATTCACTCTGCCGTGCCTGCAGATGTTCTTGTGCATGGCACAAACTATCACGGCAGGTACAATATTTAGGGATGAATCAGGGAGAGTCACTTCTAAAAATTGATGGGTGGACTGGTCGCCGGTCGGGGACTCGGGGTGTATAGAGACCACACACACAAACTATCACGGCAGGTACAATATTTAGGGATGAATCAGGGAAAGTTACTTCTAAAAATTGAGGGGTGGGCTGGTCGCCGGTCGGGGACTCGAGGTGTATAGAGACCTCAGTCAAGATAACGAAGGTGTGTACCAATGATCTCAGAGAACAAACTGGTCATGTTGATACGTTTCCAGCGGTTCACTTCTCAACAAAGATATATGCCTATGGTGTCTACCATCTGACACAACCTAACTTCAAATTAGTAACATTCAAATTTCATTAGAAATTTAAGAAGCAAGCTCGAGTAAGCTTGAGGTGCGTACTAAATATCCTATCATAATTTACTAATCCGTGTTTCACTATAAGGTGCGCTAACTTTTTCACTGTACCAAAGTTTCATTTCTTGTACAGCAAGAAAATGTCGTCTGTATTGCAACAATACAACGGCAAAATGCTTGCCCCAGCTACATCGCTGATATATTAGTTTACTCGAAGCAATACTACTAGTAAAAAATGTAAAACAACTATTTAATTCTGCATTATATTATTAAC